TTCATTGCCTTAATCTTATTTTTAAGGTCAAGATTATCATTTTCTAAAAATTTATTTTCTTCTTCTAAAGCATGAAGTTTAGCCTTAGCCTCTTTGGCAATTTTTGAAGCTTTCTTGAATTCACCAAATAGTTCTTTAAAAGCTTCTTGTAATTCTTCAAAAGAATGAGAGTTAGAAGTACTTACCTCTTCTTCTTCATTGGCCATGAGACAAATATGGGTTACTTCTTTTTCTCCTAGTAGAGTTTCGTATTTCTCACGCATGCCATCCCATAGATTCTTAGCCGTTTGATAACCGGAGAACTTTTGAATTTCTTGCGCGTCAATTGCACAAAGTAGAAGGTTAAGAGCTTTTGCATCTTGTTCCACCTTCTTGATATCTTCTTCATTGTATTCCTCCTCGAGTTTCTTTACTTTTTTCTTGCCCACCTTCTTCGTTGGGAGAGAAACTCCGTTGTTGATTGCCATCATAGTGTGTAATCAACGGATTGAATGAAGATTCTCATTCTATCTTTCCAATAAGAGTAATTTACTCCATTAAAGAGTGGTGGCCTTGTTAAAGAGTATCCTTCGCTAAAAGATCCTGCGCTCAACATTCTCAACAGAAATATAGATCGTTCTCTCAACCCGTTAAGGCTTTTAGAGAGTTAGGCTTTGATACCAATTGTTAGAATAAGTGCCCTTCACTAGAGGGGGGGTAAATAGTGAGGCACGAGAATGTTTATAAATTTTCGCGGAATAAAAATCGTAGGGATAAAGTAAAGAACGTAAAAAGTAAAGAGCGTAAAAAAGCGTAAAGAGAGCACACCAAAATTTATACTGGTTCACCACAACGTGTGGCTAGTCCAGTCTCCCGAGAGACTCTCTCGAGCTACACTACTTCCGTTAAGCTTACGGGTGCTTAACAAACCGTTACAACCTGAGAACTCGGGTCCCACGAGCCTCAATACACTTGCTCGTAGATACCGCACTCCAAAACTTCAACTCGAAGGAATATGCCCTTCCTTCGTACAACCAAGGGAACAAACCTCCCTTAAAGTGTTCACAACACTTAACCACTCAAGAACAAAAACTCTCTTAAAGAGTAGAATATGAGTAAACTAATTTAGATCAAGAACACATTCAATTCCTCAAGAAATGGCTCTAAAAAGCTATGTAAAAAGTTTATGGAATGATACAATGTAAAGCTATGAAATGTGTGTGGAATAGATGTCAAAAGTAGACCCAAGAGACCCCTTTTTTATACCCAAAAACAAGGTGCAACGGTTGGGAGAAGATTGGGGTTGATTAGCTTGATTTGTGGAAATCAAATAAAAGTGGATCTGCTGAAATCTAGCCCGACAGCGCTGTTCATATGGTGAACATCGCTGTTCTGGCTTTGACTTTCCTTTAAAAAAGGCTAACGGTCATCAAAACATCGATGTCTAGAAGTCTACATCGTTGTTGGGGTGTTTGACTTTCAAAAATGGAAAGATTTTGTCTTAAATAGCCCAACGGTCATTTGAAAACATCGCTGTTCAACCATGAACATCGCTGTTCAAAAACTTACTGCCCAGGGCTTCTGAAGGACAACATCGCTGTTGGGATTTCCGACATGCATGTCGGGATGGTTTGCTAGAACCATGGTTTGGCAGCCAACGCCGAAAACCGATGTCAAAAACCAAAGTTCTCCAAAATGAAAACCAAGTGTTGGAAACTCTTATATAATGTATTTTAGGTAGAAACCAAGTATAAAAACGTAAAAACCACTTCATTAAGGTAAAAACCACGGCTAGCCAAGTTTATGCCGTTTCACAAGGTTTTCACCAAAAGACCGAAAACGAAAGGTGGTTTTTAACATGTTTTTGTTGGAGAACCATTTGGATATGTCTAGAAGTAAAAACCAATCATAAAATATTAAAAACCAATTGATTGATTTGGACACCAAAAACCAACGCCGATAACCAACACCGAATGCTGATAACCAACGCCGAAAAGCAAAGGTTATGATTTTTGAAAACTAATCATTTGGAAAAACTTTAAATGTGTCCAGAAGCATAAACCAAAGATAAAAACCCAAAAACCATTTGGTTAAAATCAATGCCAATAACCAATGCCAAAAACCGAACGCCATAGCCGAACGCCGATAACCGATGGTTATGGTTTTTGTTAAGCAAGAACCATGGGTTTTAGAAACTTAAAAACCATTTATGAAAACACTAATTTGATGCATGAAAAACATATTTTGTTTTGAGCCATGACGTAGAGAAATTGAATGAGCTTGTTACAATAAAACCTAAGTCTTTAGAATACGTCTTCAAAGCGCCAATGTCGCCATCTTTATCAGCGTCAATGCCTTTCTTGTGCTCTTTGTTTATTCAAAGAACTTCTTCTATCTTTTCATTTTGTTCCATGTTCCTGACGGTTTGTCAATATCAAAACCTAAACGGAAACAAACATTGTCATTAGCAAAATGTCAAAGTGAAAATGTTTTCCAACAACAAGCCACCACATCCCGTTCGAGTGCTGAGGCCGAATATCGAACAGTTGCAAATGTCATGGCTGAGGCAAGTTGTGTCCGAAACCTCCTTCTCGAGTTACAGCAACCTCTACGCCGCACCACACTGGTTTTCTGTGATAACGTCAGTGCAGTGTACCTATCAACTAACCCTGTTCAGCATCAGCGCACAAAGCACGTAGAGGTTGACACACATTTTGTCAGGGACAAAGTTGCTCTAGGGCAGGTTCGTGTTCTCCATGTTCCATCTTCATGCCAGTACGCCGATATCTTCACCAAAGGGCTACCCTCTCTCCTCTTCTCCGACTTCAGGCACAGTCTTGGCATTCGCCCTTCACCGGTCACGTAGTTGGCAGCATGTTAAATATTTTGTATATTTAATATCTTTCATATATGGTAGATTTCCTTCTGTATAGGGTTTCCTTGTTTATATCCTACAATAGATAGGAGTCTTGTACCTTTGTATATATACGGAGCTTGACTTCACAAGATCAATATAGAAAACAATAGTTCTTCACAGTAAAACTACTAAAAACATTTACAATGATAATAATAAGTTTTATTTTAAATAATTAATACCGTTTTTCTAAATAATAATGATTGTTACTCCGTATATCTTAAAAATAGAGTACTAAAATTACTACTCTGTAATTAGTTTTTAATAATAATTAAGAAAATAATAGGAAATAAATAATACTATCTCCGTCTCGAAGCATATGTTAGGTTTTGACTTTTTTCTATCAACCGTTTTTAACATTTGACCTATAATTAAATAAAACAGATATTGTATATTAATTCGATAAAGTAATATTTTGAAAACATTATATATATTAAATCTAATAAAACTATTTTTGTATCAATATCTAATATTATTATTTTTTAATTTAGGGGTAAATTTTATCAATTTTTACCGAAAAAATCAAAAGTAGATAAATACTCTAGAACAAAGGAGTAATTAATATGAAGTAATAATAATAACTAGTAGAATTTTATAAAAAAGTACAGAATTAAAATCACTAATTAATTTTTTAAAATAAATAACAATATTAATAATAAGTGTTTTTTTATATAAAGTGTTATTTTTCTAAATAGCAATTAGTGTTTTTATAGAAAAGAGTGGTACAACTAACTATTAGTTTTTAATAATAATAGTAATAATAATAAATTAAAAAATTAATAATAATAATAATAGAATAAGAAAATTTTAATTAATATGAAGTAATTACTCCCTCTGTTTTCAAAAACACTTCCTCTTTCATTTTTTTCACTTCCAACAAAACACTTCCACTTTTTATTAAAAAACCACTTTTACCCTTACTTTTTCATACCCTACTTATCACATCATACTTTTTCTCTAATAATCTATCCATCACATCTTACTTTTACCCATCACATCAAGGGCAAAATTGGAAGTCAACTACAATTTAACACTTCCTTATTTTTCCACTTTTTCAAAGTAGGAACTCTTTTTGAGAACGGAGGGAGTATAATAATTAATAAAAAATAATAATAATTATAATAGAAGAAGAAGAAAAAAACAAAACAAAAAGTAAAAGAAGAAAAAAACGGGGGTAGGGGGAGGAATGGACTGGAAGGCGAAGGAGAAAGACTGAAAGAAGAAGAAAAGAAGAAAAGAAGAAAAAGAAGAAGAAGAAGAAGAAGAAGAAGAATTCGAAGAAGAAGAAGAAGGAGAAGAAGAAGATAACGGAAGAATGGAGGTTAACGGAGGAGTGACGGGGTGTCACCCCAGAGTCACTTTTCGAATATTTTAAGATACTTCGGAATATATTTTGAAAAATAATAGGACCTGGCAGTTCTTATTACAAAATTGGGGATACCCAGCAGCAATTTTTTTGGAAAAGGAAGCTGCATTGGAAAAGTATGAAATATTGAAATGAAGTGTAAATTGGTCACATAAAATGAAAGCTATGCGTCACAAAAATGTTTGGGTACATCAATCTTCCGTGATGGGATAAGTATGAAATGATGGACAACTGGAATACATTCATGGTCATGGCGTGAAGCACTAAAAAGTATAAAGGTGGAAATTTCTTTTCATTTTCTTCCTTCCAAATTTTTTGACATGTTATAAAAAATGAAACGAATTAATTTTTTTCACTTTATTTTAAATGACGATTAGTATAGAAATACTTTTTAAGAAGTCTAATTGCATTATTAGCCTCTCAATCTTAATATGATTAATTAGTATTTCAATTTTTAAAAATCCATAATTAATCCTTTACCTAACACACTTGATTGTTTCCATTACATTTCCTTTTTATTTTTAATCATACATGAGAAGCTTTCTATTTTTTATATTCCCTCGCCCCAAAATTTGAATACAAATTAGATTTTATGAGACAATTTCTCTTCTTTTCAAATCGATAAAACATAAAGATTATATAATTAAAACTTATGTTACAATTTTTAAATAAGTGACGAAAATATATAAAAGAACAAAAGTTAATTTAGAGGAGAGAAATGAATTATAATCAAATTTAGGATGGGGGAGAGTACAAGTTATCTTTCTTCTATGTTCATTTTTTATAATAACGAATTATTTTTATTTTTTTAGTCCAACTATTTTTAAAGTAATAAGTTACTCATGCTTTACTGATCTATTTTTTAAAAATATTCACTTGGTTATAAAGAACTTTCTCCGCTTCTTTAAACGGTTCCTCTTTTGACTTTGGGGAAAAATAAGGAAAATGTAATTTTAGTCGACTTTTAAATTTCGCCCCTGATGTGATGAGTAAAAGTAAGATGTGATAGTTTAGTTGTTAGTGAAAAAGTATGATGTGATAGGTAAGATATGAAAAAGTATGGGTAAAAGTTGTCTTTTAATAGAAAAAAGAAGTGTTTTAAGAAAAACAAAAGAGGAAAGATGAAGGGTTTAAAAAATGGAAGAAGTATGTGTCAGATTTTTTATTTTCACAAAAATTGAGTGAACGTTTCTTTCTAATACTCCCTCCGTCCCAATTTAAATTGTCTGTTTTGACTTTTGGGCATATTTAAGGAAAATAAAAAATAGAATTGATTTTTCAAAATTGTCATTACTTTTTGGGAGGGGTGATGATGAATGAGAAGATAAGTTGAAGAAGAGTGACTTATTTTAGGGGTAGTTTAGGTATTTTATTTTTAAAAGTTTACAAAAACAACTAACATGTAACTTATTTTGGGACGGAGAAAAAAGGCAAACAGACAATTTAAAATGGGACGGAGGGAGTACAATTTTAATAGACATTCTACGTCGAAGGTTAACACTAGTACTAAAATGTTTGTCAATTTGTGACTTTTTTTTTGCAATCTATTTCTTTTTTTGTATTTGACGTATAATTTTAATAAATTGTATTGAGAAAAATAAATACTCACTATAATTTTTGCAAATTCCAAATTTGACATAGAATTTAGTAGGGAAAGATTATTTTAAAAAGTTAGACCATAAAAACAAAAGAAGCTTGTTAGTATTAAAAAGAGTAGACATAATAAAAGTAAGAGTAATTTATTATTATGAAAAAATAAACTTATATGAAATATGACTTAACTGCATAAAAAAATAGGTTCCTCATATTATATAGAATTATTCATGGATTTTTTAATGTTGAATGACTAATCATGATCTTTACATTAACTTGAAGTGCTAACGGTCGAATTTAAACTTTAAAAACTAAAATTAAATACTATGTATTTAAAAAAACAAAGTGTGACAAATATTTTTATTTAATCAAATAGTTAATGATAACACACCAAAAATGAATAAATTCTACTCCCTCGACCCAAATTATTTGCCACATTTGTATTCCCGAGGCAAAATATCAAAAAGAAACAGCACCACCTCCGCCTCCGAAATCAAAAAAAGGTTTTTTCGAAATAGTCGGTGGTCTTCTTGCAAAGAAAGGGAAGCGTGCTCATTCTTCGACGAGTTCAAGTGGTAAAACAGTAAGCTCGCACAACGAACTTGCTATGTACCAGGGTGTGTCATGCGATTACAATGATGACGACGTGGATTTTGACGTGCTCGGATGGTGGAAGCGGAACGAACACATGTTCCCATGTCTCGGCATGCTAGCAAGACAAGTGTTATCCGTTCCGGTATCAACCGTAGCAGTTGAACGGGAATTCAATGCTGGCGGCAACATTCTAACCGACTTTCGAGGTTGTCTTAGCGCTGAATCTCTTGAAACACTGGTTTGCAACCAAGATTGGCTCTTGGCAAGACGTCGAGCTCAAGAGTCATCGTACCAACTCGAATCGGAGCATTACATGAATGCAACAACAGATGGAAGTCCGAGTTCTGAAGAATAAGTTATAATTTTTTTATGTTAATGTAAATATGTAATTAGTTTTTTTTAGGTGAGCAATATATAAGCTCCTTCGAGGGTTTCTTTACGGTTCTTTACCTCGCTGTTTTTTTTGAACCGTCAGGATATTAAACGTGATTGTTCTTCAGTTAGTGTATTATTCCTTTAAAATATTTAAATAACAACTATATTTTTAGATTTTTTATTTCATTCTTTCCTTAAACAATTGCAAATTTAAAATTTTATACTTTAAAAATTTTAAAAAAAGCAAAAAAAGGGGGGGGGGGGGGCGAAACCGGCCGGTCCAGTACTGGAACCGCCGGTCCGGTACCAGAACCGTCGGTCCGGGAACCGGTACCAGTACCGGCCGGCACAGTCACGGTGCCGGTGCCATGGGGTGGCGGTACCGGAACCGACAGTTTCGGAACCGGAATCGTCCTGGAACCGTACCGTGTCCACCCCTACTCAAAATGATGTTAGACAATTTTAGTGTAGAGAAATTAATTAAAGGATATGGAAAATGCTTGGTTCACAAACAAAATGTTCACAAATTTTACAAACTTGCTATTTGTGAACTTCAATAAATAAAATTAAATAGTCTAAAATAATTTTAAAATGAAAATTTAAACCATAAATTGTAAGTTTGTGAAATTTGTGAGTATCGTATTTGTGAATGTAGCATTGCTCATAGGATATTTTTGAAAATCAAGTCTAATTAATGATCCACCTACTCCGCATACATTTGTTATGGGTTGCAGCAAATGTTACAGTACCATTTAAGGAATGTATAGTATCTCTAAATATGGAGTATTTGTTATATTTGTATTTTCGAGACAAAATATTACTCCCTCTGTCCTATATCTTTCTTCCCAATTCGCAAAACGAAGAAAAATCCCAAGTTTTTTCAATCTATTTTATTTAAATATTGGTATAGAAATAAAAAATAAAACATACATATTTAAAAACTACATCAAAAGTTCAACAAAACTAGTGGTGACAAGAATATTTTATTTTATCATATAGGTCATGAAAAAATATAAATAAATATAAATTCCCGTGAAGTTGGAATAGTGTTTTGGAAAGAAAGTTTTAGGACGGAGGGAGTAAATTTTTTAAATCTATTTTATTTACCTATTGTTATAGAAAAAAATTACATCTAAAAAAATCACATGAAAAGTTTTTCGAAGTAAGAGGTGTTAAGAATATTTTATTTTATCAAATAACCAATAAAAACATAGATATAAACAAAAGTTCCCGCTACTGTTAAAAAAGCAAACGTTGCAAATAATTTGAGATGGAGGGAGTAAACAACAATTTAATTTGGGATGGAGAGATATTTATTTATGTTAAGAAAAAAAAGAATATTATTGTCTCAAATATTTTATCTTTTTTCATTATATATATGTCAATAAAATGTATATACTCCGTATATAAAATGTACACTCACCATACATAATGTAAATTCAGTGGACGAGAAAATGAGGTTAATATTTACCGAGTTTTTAAATAAATCATTGATAGACGATTTTAGTGTAAAGAGATTAAGTAAGAATATTTTTGAAAATCAACTCTATTAAACACTCTATCCCTCACATAAACATTTTTTTCCTTTTTTTTTGTCTTATAAAGATCTTCCCATGTATTTTTTACAATAATCTACTACCTCCGTCATGCTATATTCGTCTAGTTTTGACTTTTGGAACTGATCATCTAAGCACTTTGACTCATCAAATACTCTCAATGTGTAAGCATAAATATAGTCATGTGTGATCTTGTTTGATTTGCCTTAACATATAGATTATTAATATATAATTTCTATATTTTTTTAATAAACAAATTACAAGATAAAATGGATTAGAGAAGTGCATTGGATGATGTGTAAAAATTAAAGTGGACAAATATAGTGGGACGGAGGGAGTATTTATCAAATCTTATTTTTATTTATCATATCAATAACATTTAAAAAAATTAAAATGGAAAAAACTTAATGTTGGGGTGCAGTAAATATTGGGCCCGGACTCCGTAGCGAATTATAGGGAGTAGGTGTACTAATAATTACCCTAAAAAGAAATAATGATAATAAAAAAAAACGAAGAAAGATAGAGAGAGGAGGAAATATATAGGGAGTAGGTCATCCTCAGCCTACGAACGAAGTCTTGAATGAGCAGTCCGGACTGACACACCCGACGGGAAAATAAGGGAGGGAGAGATGGTGGACTTCCCCATCAGCGGAGCAGTTGGCCGATGCAAGACGGGTATGTATGAATTGTTAATTTTTGTTAATTACTTTATCCACCGATCTAATCGTATTCCCCAAAAACACGAAGAATATATGTATGATCAGATATTGAAAAGATCCGCCCTTATATGTATGTTTATGTATGAGATCCGCCCTTATAGTCCTCCTAAATGCAAACATCCCACAATCATCCTTAGATCTAACCGTATTCCCCAAAACCATAAAGAATAAAAATATTACTCTAAGATCTATGTGAGAATTGAATTGCTTTGCATCTGGGTCTACGCTCTGAGTCACCGGAGAGTGCAAGAGAGATCGACGGGAGGCCAAAGGGAATGGATCTATGCGGGGATACATACCCATAGTCCAGTGTCGCCTGACAGGGGAGAGAGATGCAAGGGCCCACTTGATCTATGCACGGATACCAAATCTACGGAGTACATCTTTTTTTTTTTTTTTTTAAAAAAACTACTACATTATTTTATAAGTACAAATTTAAAAGTACAAATTGCATATTTCAAAAATATATTCAAAATTGTATGCAATAATATAGTGACAAAGATATTTTATTTATCAAATTATAATGAAAATGCACAAATACATATGGAGTAAAAGTTATCAAGAGCCACCATTAGATCTAGCCAATTACATTTGTCATAATGCCAGGTCTAGTTTAGATTAATCATTTTCGAATTCTGGATACCTTTAGTTCGGATAAGTTCTTGCTCAAGTCCAAATTACATGTTCATAACACTGTGTCACTTCAACATGTTATGAAATTTATTTTAAGATTATTTAAGTTCATACTAAGAACTTGTTCTTTAAAACTTAAACTCTTAATTTTTACGGAGTAGTTTTTACAGTTTCTTCAACCATTTTCATTTTTTCTTCAAACTCTCTCTACTCTCCATTCAATTATTTTAAAAATGATATATTTTTAATTTAATTATTATCATAATAATAATAATATTATTATTATTATCACAATTATTGTGTTTATAACTATAATTTATAAAATACTAGTATTTCTACCCGTGCCACACACAGGGTCGAACAAAATTTTTGTCGATCCTAAAAAAAATTAATGCAATATTTTTTCTAGAATAAAGAAAATATACCTCTCACATAATTTTAAATACCATAGAAAAAACCCAAAGTGGAATAAACAATATTTGAAGAATTTAATATGTACAAAACAAAAAAAATTAATACCAAATTTTCTGAAAAATTTCAAGGTATACAACATTTTAGTATGGTTGCAAGGGTTTTCATTATTATCTAGGACCAATATTTTTAATTATGTTATTGTATTCACTCGCGAAACAGCAACATAAAGTTGACCACGAGTGAATATCGATTTGGTTAAAAATAATACAATAAATGACAATATTTGACCTTGACTTTTGTTGATAGTCATAGCAAAACAAAAGGCTATAGGAAACTGTCTTGTCTGGAACTTTAGGGATAGTCCTGTATCAAATGGTACCAAATTCATTCGGGGTATGTAAACTTTTTTCCCCACATGATTTCTTGAAACCACAATAACACTAATAATGTATAGTCCATATGTTTGGTCCATGTTTCTTATTAACATAATTAGTACTCCTTTATTTTAAAACTACTTATGGTTTGGAATCCCCGATCATTTGATTTTATTCAAAACTCAACTGTTATTTAATCGCCATTAACACCTACATTTGAATCTGTCTGGCATGAAGAATCTGAACTCAAGTACACCATTTGATCTTCGGGAATGAGTGATAGGAAAACTTCGTTTACCATTTCTACAACTTCGAGCGTGGGTGCTAGTAGTGCCTTATCCTCGAAAAAAGAATAACTTTTCTTATTTTCCAATAGGTTCAGATAAGTGAAGTTCACTATACTCTTGAGAGAGAACTCATGTCTAGAATGAAGAATCCAGGCAAAGTTTCAATGTCAATTGTTCCATCAATCATTTGTCCAAGTTTTCCATCTCCGATTTTAATTATTCAATAAAAAAGCTTGTGTGTCTTTAAGGTTCGTCCCATAACGACGTTGATAATAATAATAATAATAATATAAATAATAATAAAAAAACTAATAATATAAATAATAATAATAATAATAACTAAAATAATAGTAATAATAATACTAATAATAATAGTAACACCAATAATAATTATAAGATTATTATTACTATTATTATTATTATTATTAATCTTTATATAAACTAATTTTTAAAACTTTAGTTACCAGTTTCGTAAAAATAAAAACTAATATATAAAAAGAAAGGAACTTTTAATGGCATGTTTATTTAATTGAACATTAAATATTTTTGTATATAGTAAAAAATATTCTAATTCTAATAAAAATATACTTCCTTTTAAAATTAGTATTTTCCATTTTAAAATAATTATTTTCCATTAATAGCTTTGAAAAAATTATAAAATTTGTGTCACAAAAATTATTATCTTTCAATAAGAACTTTCTAATGGTAAAAGTTGGTATGATAATATTTATGTGTAATAAGTTAATTTTAATTGGTAATCCTAATTGAGAGATTTATGATATAATATTAGTTGTTATCAATGCATCCTCTAGAGGTCAAATGAATAAATTTGCTTATATACTAATAGTTATATTCTTGGTTAAAAATTACATGTTGTATTATAAATACTATATGCTTTATTTAAAAAAATAGATAGAAAATATATATTACATTTAGTATATACGATTCTATAACATCGATTTCTATATAATTCTATAACATTTAATTACATATGATTATATATCAACAATACACTATTTTATGCTTAATAAAATCATGCAATATCTTATTTATTTTCCGCCAAAGTTTTCCTCTCTTATTTAAAATTTAATATGTAATCGTATTTCTTAAATAATAAAGTAATTATGTATACTAAGGGATTTAGCTATGAAGAATATCTAGCAACAATAGGCAGAGTGTCATGTATTTATATATAGATCTTGAGGTTGATGTCAAAATAAGAAATTTTTATATTTGTTAAGAATAATTTTAAATAGAAATCGCATTATTAATGATTGATACTATGTTTAATATCAATTTTAAAAATGTAAAACGTAATATAAGAAGTCAAACATGATGATTAGTCTCTAAAATTATAGAAAGTATGAAGAAATTAGAAGAAACTTTACTTATTTTAGAATCTAGAAAATCTAATTACTTGCAGATTTTTTTACTTTTGTAAAGTATTCAAAAAAGAATTTAGTTTCTTCTTACATCCTCTATATCATATTTAAATATGATGGTGATGATGACGATCATATTTAAAATTTTACCATTTTCTTTTTGTAAAGGAAAATAATTTGAGTATCATTTTTCTTTAAATAAATTTCAACCATATATTTTTTAAGTTTTTTCCTTAATTTATTTAGTTAGTTTTTAATTTTTGGCAAAGTCAAATTGTTAGTCGGTATTTTTCTTTTTTAATATAGATAAGGTATGTGTTATACTAAAAAAAGGCATTATTTTTTCACTTATATTTTTGTAGCATTTTAATATACATAGTATGCATTTTTATTTTTTCAAAAAGATTTTGAAATATCAAATTTATATTATTCAATTTTATTTTTAAAGAAAATAGTCTTTTGGTATGATATATTTTTCTGTTTCAAATAAATATCAGAATATTTTTTTACAACAATAGTACGGTCGTTTATTTTTCGGTGAATTCAAGTTGCTAGTGGGTTTTTTCAATAGTGTCGAAGTATTTGAAAAATATGTTAACCTCAAAGATGTTAACATTTGAGGTGTGCATGAATACTTTTTATGATTTATTTTTCTTTTAATAAAAATAAGCGATGCGCTATGTAATAAACATTGAATTGGGGACCATATATATTTGTTTTACCTTTTAACCTTTGTGGTATAACCATGTTTATGAAAATTGTTTAAACCTTTTATCAATTGATATATTAAAGGCCATCAATTTAATTGGCATCAATTTCTTTCATCAATTTAATCAGCATTTTTTAAAAATTTTTAGTGTAGTCAAATTGTTAGTGAGTTTTATTTTTTCATTATAATATTGATAAGACATGTGTTATATAATAAAAATGGATTATTTATCAATTTATAATTTTTTTATCTTTTAATATATGCAGTATATATTTTATTTTTTAAGAAATATTTAAAATCGAGGTTACATTATTGTGTTTTTAGGAAAAAAGTATTTGCGTGCCATTTATTCATCTCTTTCAAATAATTTTCACATACATATTTATTTTTAATTTTAATATAAATCTAATGTTTCTTTATTTTTTGAAAACTCAAATTGTTAATGCTTTTATTCAAGAGCACAAAAGTATGTAAAAATTAATGTTAAGTTCTAAGATGATAATTTTTTGCATTTTTTTATAAATATGGCATGTGTTATTTTAAAGAAAGCATTATAGCTCATGTATTACTCATTTGCCTTTACATATTTGTGAAATTATCTTTAAGCCCGTAAATATTAAATATTTATCTATCTTTTAACAATAAATAACTTATATACAGAGTAATTTTTAATTTTTTGTATTTTTTATAAACAAAGCGTGTATCATTTAAGTATGTAATACTTAATTTTTAACCAAGAATATAACAAATAGTATTTCGCAGAAGAAGAAACGGAGAAAATCTGATTTTGCGTGAAGGATTAAAGGTTATCCATAAAAAAAATTATAGCCTTAAAGGCAATGCATAAAAAAATCCTTATAAGCCAATGATGACTCAATGATGACATGGCTCATGAGGTGTTTAAAAATTGTCGAGTAAGCGTGCCAAATGTCATCATTCTAGAAGCTCTACTCTCCTTTTTTATATATAAAGATAAAGATAAAGATTTCATTTTTTTATTTTTCCCATGTTACTATTTTTACAATTTACATTCTTCTAAATTGATATTTGGAAATTATTTTTCAAATTTTTATAAAAAAGTTTAAAACTCAAAATATTTTAGAAAAAAATACTAAACTATGAGTAAAATATAAGAATGTACCAAATATGAGTTGTATACTTATTTTTTATTCCCAAAATAAGAGTTACAATGTAAACACAATATCCATTACCATGAAAGGAAAAATAGATTTGATTAAATCATGTGACAAGTCTGTTATATAAAATAAAATCTTGTAATATACTCTGTATAAAGTTTAATTACAAATAAAAATGTACCAAATATGAGCTCTATACTTGTAGATTTTACACTCTAATTAATTTTTTTGTGAAAGTTAATTTTTGTTTATGAAAAATGACAATACTTGTTTCTTCGAGATATTGTTAAAGATAATGTGATAATAATAATAATAATAATAATAATAATAATAATAATAATAATAATAATAATAATAATAACTTTCAATTATTCCAATTCCATCTAATTTCTTTAAATTCCTTCGAGCTTTTTCGAATTTCTTCTACTCTTAGTTCCTTCTAGTTTCTTCTAATATGTTGCTCTCTTTTTCCAGTTCTAAAGAACAAGTCTTGACACTTGTATTTTGCACCAAAAATAATAAAACATCAAGATACATACATTAAACTATGAAAATATTTATTTTAAATTTTCAAAGTATACATTTGTACACTAAAACGAGTAATAAGATAAAAATAAAAACATAATCTTATTTTTATTACATTATTCTTCATATTAATTCGTAAAATTCTTATACTAAGGTCAGGTCGGGTGCATGTTCATTTAGGTCCCGTTTGGTATACAGAATTCAAATTATGGAATTGGAATTGAGGGTTTCAATTCCAATTTTGATGTTTGGTAGCACAAAAATTAAATTTTTGAATTGGAATTGGCAAAATTTAATTCTATGGTAGCACAAAAAAAATTCAATTCTATGGCAAAAAAAAAATTAAATTTAATTCTATGGCAAAATTTTGATGTTTGGTAGCACAAAAAAAAAAAAGAATCTCATGGAATTTCAATTCCAATTCAATTCCAATTCCATCAATTCCTTATACCAAACGGACCCTTAGTGTTCAAAATTTAGTATTTTCAAGTTGAATCTCAGTCAAAATCAAGTCAAGTTCGTGCTTGCGGGTTATAGCCAAAATGGAGGGGGGGGGATGGCAGAGAGTATTTAATTTTTTTATTTATACAATCATACACGAATAGGGCCAGATGGGTGGGGGATGGGGCAGGGTGGGTGGACGAGGTGTTGTAGGTGACTGGTGGTAGATGTAGGGTAATAAGGGGGTAGGGGTGGTGTGTGAGTAAGAATTTTCCATATAACTCTAAGATCACTCGCGGCTCATCGTGAGAAAATTGTAGCTCCCAGTGGTGTACTTTGATATATTACACGCTAAGGAAAACGAATAGGATCATGCTACACTTACATCAAAAAATGTACACCATTTGTACACCACAATTATGCACAAACATTTTGATGGTTAAACACAAGTGTTGGTGCATTAAAAAAAATTTACACAGACACAAAGTGTTGGTACATTAACAAAAATTAGTTTTACACCAACTCAAAATATTGGTGCAAACCTGCAGCGTAGAAATTGGGGTATAAATATTGGGGTATACATAGCTTAATCAAAAAAAATTTAGCTTTTTTATTTTCTCATTGTTGGGAATCAAGCAAAAAAAACTCTCATACAAGAAAAAAGATGAGGTGGAGGAAAGGAAAAGTTAGAGAGAGATTAGTGAAGAAATTTTTTTCCTCTCACCACGGAGAATGCTCTAACGGAAACCTTTTCTCTTTTTTTAAGAGAGAATATTTTTTCTTTAAAGTATTTTCCTACAACTTATGTCATGAAACATAGTAAAATATAATTAAAATTTTCCTAGATAATATGTATCCTCTAACCAAATAGATCCATGTTTTTATTGTTATTATTATTATTAATTTTTACTCCTTTCGTCCCAGTGTATTTGTTCAATTTGAATTTTTGGAGTTAAATTGGAAAAACTTTGAGTTTCAATTAAATACGAAGTAGAATATATTTTAACATAAAAATGACTTTATTAGAATTATCATATTGAGAACTTTCAAAGTTATATTTCGTTATACTAAAATGTAATAAAAATTGAAAGTAATTGGAGTTCAAAGTTTGTCCTGTTTGACTCATAAAAGTTAAATTCGACATGTACATTGGGACAAATGTAGTAATATTTAAAGTCTTAGTTTATTGGATCAAAGAATCAACATCCTTAAGTTATATGATATGATATGAGGGTGATGGAGGGTGTAAAGAGGTATGATGTAGAATAAATAAAATATACTTCCCCCATCCTTATTTTGATTACAAAATGGGAATTATGAGGTAAAATCTCATGTTTTTGAAATCATTACATTAATAAGAAATAAAAATTACGCATTAAAAACCTCATCAAAAGTTCTACAAAACAAAATGTGACAAGAACATTTTATTTTATCGAATAATCAATCAAAATATATAAATAAATAAAAATTGTTGAGAAAGAAAAAATAAAATTATAATCAAATTGGGACATATGGAGTACGTGTGTTGTAGGTTTGAAGGGAAGGTAGATGGATGTGAAGGTATAAACTATAAACCATTATGGTATTGGTTAAATGAGGGTCGGTGGGCGTTACGCAATTGACAAAGCAAGGAGTGTCAAGAGGGTAACAGCCGAGCATACTAGTATAGAGCCTTTGCAAATACTAGGTACAAGCTCCACTCTTTGCCACTAATCTGTAATTAAAGTCTAATTTACTTCCTTTAAGTGACCATCCGGCCGGGTTTGAAAGAACCCTCGGAGTCATCCTTTTTTGTAATGAGGCATGAGGAGGAAACCGTGATCCTCATCCCGTCTCCTTCATAGCCAAAATCGAATCTCTTTAACCAATCCTACCCAAGATTAACATTTTGCCATTCATCCTTCATACCCAAGAATTAATACCTGAGTATGAATAATTGAATGAATGGTACTCCATAGATTTTAATGGAAAGAAAATACTAGTAAAGAAAATACTAGTATAGAGCCTTTGCAAATACTAGGTACAAGCTCCACTCTTTGCCACTAATCTGTAATTAAAGTCTAATTTACTTCCTTTAAGTGACCATCCGGCCGGGTTTGAAAGAACCCTCGGAGTCATCCTTTTTTGTAATGAGGCATGAGGAGGAAACCGTGATCCTCCTCCCGTCTCCTTCATAGCCAAAATCGAATCTCTTTAACCAATCCTACCCAAGATTAACATTTTGCCATTCATCCTTCATACCCAAGAATTAATACCTGAGTATGAATAATTGAATGAATGGTACTCCATAGATTTTAATGGAAAGAAAGTATTTTTGCGACTGCTGAAATAAAAAAGGAAATGTTTTGCCTAGATTTTTATTAAAACAAATGGAGTAATTGTTTTGATGTAAATTTAAAATATATTAATTTTATTTTCACTGATATAAAATAGAGCAACGATCTTATCGATCCAGATGCATGGTGAACCAACCAATTTCCAACCAGCAAGAGTATAGTTGAGGGTCGCACCAGAATATTCTTCTAGGTTGCTACAAAGTATGTTTCTTCATCTAGGGAGGTTAAAGTTACACCAACCATATATTACACTTGTGGCAACTCCAATCCAATTGGGGTTCTTGTAGTGCTTTACCTACGATGCTCTCTTTGTAAATTGACGGTTCCTACCCCGATAACCCACCCCCCTAACCCCCTACTCAACGCCCCTCCTTGCACTCCATCCCAACTCTCCCAGCCCACCCCTCCCTTAATCCTTAATTTGGCAGAATAATTTTGCCTATTTAAGGATAAAAGGAGGGAGGATTAAGGAGGGGCTGGTGCTAGGGGAGGCAAGGGTGGGGTGCAGGAAAGGGGTTTAGGAGGTGGATTAGAGGGATATGAACTATCAATTTTAAGAGTCGAGCTATGTAGGTGCGTCAAATTGAACTCACGTCGCCACTGGTGTAATAATGTGTTGGTGTAACTTTAAAGCTTCCTCTTTAAAATAAACCATGGTAGACACTATTTTCTTTGATGGTTCACATGAACTTAAAATGTCAGTATAATTGAAAAATTTTGTACTAATATTTTATGTCATTGTGAACCGCAAAAATTTGGGGCACCTTTAGTTAGAGGGGGCAAGAGTTTTTAATAAACCACCATAGGCAGGTGTAATAACTTACCCCAAGTTATAACTTCCAATAATCACAGTGAAAATTGTAGATTCAAAACGCAAAAAAGGTAGATCCAAAGGGTTTAATGTTGTAGATTGAGGAGGGTTCTCTAATGGAGAAGGAGACCCTCTAGGACGCCACAGTTAGTCGTTTGTTATAGAGAGAGAAAACAGAGAGAGAAAGATAACTTGGAGAATAATTTTTCTGATTTTCATTGATCGATAGCCAGCCCTATTAAAGCCTTCAACCACAATCGTTTGCTAGAAAAAGAAGTAAATGACCATAATAGCCTTGTATGCTAAAACAAAAACAAATATATAAAATAGTAATACTCTGTAACATCCCTTTGTCCTTGTGAAAAGCAGTCCTCAAAGCTTATGTATCCAACTGAAACTCAGGAAATCGAGTAACAAAATTATTAGCCCATTCCCACGTAGCATCACTCGCCGAGACTCCCTGCCACTGAAGCAGCTGCCTTTTTCTTCTTTTTAATTCTCCTCTCTAGGATAGCTATGGGTTGGGGGTGCTGAGAGGAATTAACTCCATGTAGCCTTTCTGGGATGTGAGATTTCTTCAGTAGCTCACCCTTAAATTCTTTAACCTGAGACACATGAAACACCGGATGGATCTTTACTTGAGATGGAAATTGTAACTTATAGGCCACCATGCCACCTTTAGAGATAACTTGGGAAGGCCCAAAGTATCTTTACTTGAGATGAAGCCTTGACTCCATTCCAATCATCCTGACTGATTTCCCCTTTTTTGGTACTTGTAGATAGATCTATCAAAACATAACCGGAACTGATTACCTGAACTGAAATATCCGAAACCAAAACCGAAATGACCTGAAAAATGAAGATCCGATCAATAACCGAAAACCTGAAATGATCCAAACCTAACTGAAACCGAACTAAATAATTCATATCTGATTTAAATTCGAAACCGATTAGATCCAAAACCAATAATATTCGAACCGATTAAACCCAAAACCGATTAGATCCGAAACCGATAAAACCCAAAACCGATAAAACCCAAAACCGATTAGATCCGAAAACAATTATATCCGAAACCGATTTGAACCTATATCGATAAATTTGGAACTATGTTTTCCTTTCAATAAACATATTATATTTTTAAATTTTTACTTTTATTTTACCATTTGAACTAATTATATTACTTGCTCATTCTCTCATAAAATGGATTACCGTGTTTTAGAAATATTACAAAAAATAGAGCAAATGAGCAATAAAATAGAGATGACATAAAACACATAAAAATTACTTTTTCCAAATTTAAGCATACATGCGATAAAATAAAGCAAACTAGTAATAAAATAGAGATGAGAATCTTGCTAAACACCAAAAAGTAGTCATCTAGTGATAATTAAAAAATATAGTATTCAATAGTCATGATCCAAAAGTGGAAATATAATGCAAACGTCCATAGATGGTAGAATTGCTGGTAGCCTTTGATAAATGGTCATTGGGAACATCTATAGTAGCTGCTGGAAAAAGATCATCGGGACGAGTCTTTCAATAACCTGAAAACTACACAAACTCCATTATCAATATTCAGGTTACCAAAAATCCAGAGAGCAAAACAAGAATGCATTCCAAAATAAAAATAAAAATGCAAAACAGTGAGCAAAACAGAAATGCATCGTGTCATGGGGGTACTTGCACTCCAATATGTGTCAACAAACAGTGAGCAAAACATACCTTTATAGTTCAAATTGAGGGGCTTGGCCCAACATTTGTAGTGAATTAAAAAGGCCGAGGCCAAATTCAAACCCATATTGTCTAATAGTAGCCATGGAAGGCCCGGAGGGAGTACCTTATATGCATATAATGTCCCTTGGATCAAAGCTCTTACTCCATTTGTTTCTGGCAGCGCTAAGAATGTCGAAAGTCCTTCTCTGCGTATCACATTCAATAATGCAATACGTACCATACAGGCAGTTTCTTCCTTCAATCTGGCGCGCTTTCAACATTGGCCTAAAGTTCAATGACCGTGAGAGCTCCCGGTGAAAAGGGGCTGCTTCCACTTGCCTCCATTTCTCCGATCCTGGGGGGGCTAAAGCGGGCTGCTCTCGTGCAATGTGTGCATCTAGAAATTCAAAAATTAATTAGGATGATGAAGAAGAAATATAGGACTAGTATTAGAAGTAGAATTAATAGTCGTTACATGCGGATTCTATATATGTTGAGAGCTGGTCCCGAAGGTCTCGGTCAACAGCTGCTCCTAACAAAAAGAAATCAGTGGAGCTCAATGCACTTTGAAAGCGCCCGTGGACACCCCATTGGTGATCCACTATATCTTCGATCCTCATTTTATGGTCAACCTCTTTCCAGGACTTGTGTAAATGAGGGTATTTTTTGAGAAGCGAACGTGCATCCACGGATGTCCCTTGTGCCCTAGATTCCTCCGGGTCTGGCCAAATACCGTGAAGGACCCATTCACGGTTAGTGACGTTCCGTGCCAATCCGCGCGAGTCCACAAAGTATTCATGCGCCTTCATAGACTGAAAAAAAAATTTTGGTAAGCAAAAAACACAAATTTGATATTAACACATTTTTGTCCTTAAAATTTTATTTTTACAGTGAATGCAACAACAAATTGTCTTCTGTAGGCTCTTTCTGTTGAATGTAGAGTCCGCGCCCGCATGAACATCCCCCCCTCTGGTAGCGACCTAGAAGGGGGCTGCGGTGGCGGAGGGCCAATCGCTCGCGAGGGCCTTGGCCCCGCTCTATGCGGCGGGGTCCCCTCACGCTTCCGCTTCCTCCCGCGCGAGGAAGCGGAATCATCACATTTCCGGACCTGCACATCATCCAATATGAGGGCAAAGTTGGAAAATATATTTTTTAAGACTCATCATAGTTGCAATAGAAGTTCAAGCCCAAAACATTTTAGGGAACATCTTACTTTTAGGGTCACTTCGGTCCCAGATTACATGATATCTACAATCGGGACTCAAAGCAGACCTTTAAGTCTTTAACTACATGGTGAGATCCAGCATGTTGTTTCCATAGAATAGGAAACCATAGGCAAACTCATTAGATACTTACTTCTTTACAAGCAATTGTTAATGCAGCCTCTTTTGTTAAGTGTAAGCCATAAGCTGCCTTTCTAACAGATTTCTTCACTTCAGAATCATACAATTCCACTCCTCCTGCAATTGCTTCCTTCACCACCTGGGGAAAACATTTGACAGGCAGTCACACAAATAAGCTCAAATGAACAAACACAAAATTATACTGTATATGATTACAAAGCAGGAGGTAACATATTATATAATAAGTATGTTTGTGAAAAGAACACAGACAATAGCACCTATGAAAAGAACTGATATCAACATCTTATTTTATTTGCATTACATATTAACTTGTTCAGTAAAAACTGTAAATGTGGAGCGAATAGTGTTTACAATTTCAAATAAAATGCCGCAGATTTCAGCATGCACTGTTTCAACAGTTTGCTTGGGAATGCAAAGCATTATCTGTAACCGCTCCAGGAAATTCAAATCTTCATCACTAAGCTTTCCGTCTGAAATTGCTTGTTGAAGCTTCTGCCTATATATTTCTGCAGTCCAAATAGAAAAACAAATTATAATATCATACATATAGATACATACATCGTTACTTACTTTTATGAGGAACTAAAAAATTCAATTTTGGCAATGCTTTAGCTTTGGGTAAATAATAGACTACAATATAATGTCACATTGAATTCAAACATTCTTTTTTTCCCTATCCCAAAGATAAACTTCACATTCCTTCCATTTTCTTTTAAAAAATGAATTAAGCCGCTCACGAAATTTCTTCCATCTAATATCTAAATACGATGTGGCACATTTAGGGTATGATTTGATCCCAGAAAAATGAAATACTCCCTCAATCGACCATAAAACTGCAAACTTTGCTGATGATAATGCCTGGCAACTGGCAAGGTGGACTCTAGATTATGGCAGATTTACTGGAATTCACTTGAAGAATAATCACATTAGATTACCTTCATGCATCTCACTTGCTTTCTGTGGATGAAAGCGCAATTCCTCACAAAGATTTTGAAGGTAGACTGCTTTACTGTCAGCAGCTGCCAAATCACCTGTAGGTACAGCCTGAGCAAGTTGTTTGCGATACACTTTTGAAGTGACATCTAATGTAATTGCCCCAGCTTCTCTTTTGCCTAAACCAAATATATTCCTCAAATGATTCACTGCTGCAAACTGCAAAAATCATAAACAGATGACACCTGGTGAAATCCAGTGGTGGGTTGAATCTTCTCTCTAGTATTTTTGCATTATGCATTTTTGTCTCATCTCTTATCTTTATCAAACATGTCCAATTGTGTGCATGTGTGCAACTTCATATTGTTAGCTATTGCACAGAACACCATTTCAATTGAAACTTTCTGGATGAAAATGTTCTTCACTGATATCTCTTATCTGCCTCTGGATGCATGCCCTCTGATTTCAGGAATGTGCTACTACCCACAGGTCTAAGCCCTAGAGATATACGAAGTATTGATCCTGCATAACTCCATGCCGACTTTACTGGTATGGGATTAGCTGATTGTTTTGGTGTTTATTATCAAGGTTTATCCTATTTCTGTACATCACTTTCTGTATGTTCACTTGTTATGTTTTCTGTTTTTCTTCTTCTGAAGTCCGGAGAATTAAATTAAGTCGAGTGAAAAGATGCTATATTTGTAGGGACGAAAAACATATCTACAAAAGACAATAAAAATGTAAGCAAACAGCATAAATATCACACATACCACTCCTTTCTGTTTTCTCTTCCTTAGAAGTGCCACCGCAGGGACGTTCTCATACACTTCTGCTTCACCAAACTCTCCAATAACAGAGGAAAATATATCACCCACTGTTTTTTGGAAAAGGTTTTCACGTAAGCTTACTGAGATCATAGTGTTGATATCAATCCCTGCCTCTTTACGTAAGCCACGGTGCACGCTGATGATCTCCCGTTCAGTAGTGATTTGGCCACCGAAAGGAATCATGGTAATGTCTCCAGATAGACAATATGATAGACAATACTTCAGGTATGTTTTGTACAGTTCAGTTCTGTCCATATCCGGAAGATCACCATTAAGGGTTGTCTCGGTTTGGATGCCTTTTCTTAATTTTGGAAGGGATTGCAGAGAGTCCCATTCCTCTTCCTCATGTTGTAGATTCTCTTCATCCTCATCGTTCATCGGATGCTTCTCATGTGGAGATTTTGATGATGATTCTTCTTCCCCCTTAATATCTTGAACCAATCGAGTGACAATCAAGCTATTGAATGATATCAACTCTTTCAATATTTTTGCAGAATCAGTGCGGTTTTCAGCTGCTCGGGCCTGCTGAACATACTTTATCAACATTTTCCTGACCTGCACATCATCCAATATGAGGGCACAGTTATAAAATATATTTTTTAAGACTCATCATCGTTGCAATAGAAGTTCAAGCCCAAAACATTTTAGGGAACATCTTACTTTTAGGGTCACTTCGGTCCCAGATTACATGATATCTGCAATCGGGACTCAAAGCAGACCTTTAAGTCTTTAACTACACGGTGAGATCCAACACATTGTTTGCATATAATAGGAAACCATAGGCAAACTCATTAGATACTTACTTCTTTACTAGCAATTGATAATGCGGCCTCTTTAGTTAAGTGTAAGCCATAAGCTGCCTTTCTAACAGATTTCTTCACTTCAGAATCATACAATTCCACTCCTCCTGCAATTGCTTCCTTCACCACCTGGGGAAAACATTTGACAGTCAGTCACACAAATAAGCTCAAATGAACAAAAACAAAATTATACTGTATATGATTACAAAGCAGGAGGTAACATATTATATAATAAGTATGTTTGTGAAAAGAACACTGAAAGAAGCACCTATGAAAAGAACTGATATCAACATCTTATTTTATTTGCATTACATATTAACTTGATCTGTAAAAACCCTAAATGTGGATAATAGTGTTTACATTTTCAAATAAAACCCCGCAGATTTCAGCATGCACTGTTTCAACAGTTTGCTTGGGAATGCAAAGCATTATCTGTAACCGCTCCATGAAATTCACATCTTCGTCACTAAGTTTTCCGTCTGAAATTGCTTCTTGAAGCTTCTGCCTATATATTTCAACTCTAATCTTATCCCTTCTCTTCCCAGAAGAAGTCTTTTTGCTCCCTAACCCAATATCAGCATCGGATCTTCCCCCACTAGAAGAAATTCTCTTCCTTTTCCCACTACAAGACGGAGATTTGATATGACTATCTCCCATAAACTTTTGCATTTCCTTCTTACCTCTCCTTCCAGTCCCAAACACAGACACCAGGGTAAAAATGCTACCAAACCCTAAAGTATGCGATGTGGATTCAGGCATAAACACATATCTTTCCAAGTTAAGAGAAAATGACATAAAGAAAATGAGAAACATACTATAATAAATTGAAACCTTTTCCTTTTGGCTCCATTCGCGGCCGTCAGTGTGGCGTTTTTAGGGATGGTAACGGGTCGGGTTTGAGCCGGATAATACTATACCCGAACCCGACCCGAAATCCGATCTTTTAAGCCAAAAACCCGACTCAACCCGAACCCGACATTTCAACCCGAAACCCGAACCCGACTTTTAACCAATAATCAATTCAATGTACCCCTATAATTTTGAAAAGATTAATTCTAATTTTTTTGTCTCTTTTTTTATGTCTCATTTTTTATTAAAGGATTATAAAAATGATTATAAAACGCATACTTGATATAATAGCACTTTGTCAAAGGATTATGAATTGAATATTTCAAAATTTTCTTTGTATAACAACAAATATTAATTTTTTTCCAAAAATATTTAAACAAAATAAGAGTGATAGGAGTACTTCATATAAGTTATGCATACAATATTCAATCAATTTGAAAAAATATATATTATCTACATTCTATAAAGAATTTTACATTTTTTTTGTCACGTTCAAAAAAAGACTTCACTCTTTTTCTTGTGCATGTCTCAAAAATTAATTTTCTTATAGAAAGGAACAACTAACTACAACTCTTATTTATTTTTTCTAAATATATTTGAACTATAAAGTTTTTATTTTTAATATTTTTTTAAACTACGTACGTGAAAGTCAAATAAGGATATTTTTTTCAAATGACTGGAATATGTATATTTTTCAAATACATATATTAAATAAATAGAGATTCTAATTTGAAAAAATCTATTGTAAATATTTCATTAAAATATTTTTGTATTTTCTTTATTTATTCTAATATAAATTGATGACTATCAATCGATAAATATGTGTACATTTGATGTATATATGAGAATATATATAAACATATAATTAGACGCATTTTAAAAATAGAAAACGTTTAAAACGCGTACGTATCCGTATCCGTATGCCGAATGTTTAATATGCATGGTAAGTCATATTTTATAAAATCCTAACTTATTATACACGAACGTACGTATTTATGTATTATACGTTTGCCGTATATTACTAACTATGGTCTGGGCTAAGGCCCTATTTTTAGCAACATAGCATCCTACTTCAACCATGGTAGCATACTATAAAGAAGTATTGTGGGATATACATCATTGCTTGAAAAAGACCTTTGCACAATATTGGGCTTCTTTTTAATCAATAACTAACAAAGGGATTTAGCTACTGATTTACTTTGTTGAGAATCCTAGTAGTTGATGTTTAATACGAGCCATGGTTGAAATAGGATGCTATGTTGCTAAAAATAGGATCTTGGCCCAGACTAAAATTGCACGATAGTTGTACCACTACTGTATACTGAGACTACAACCCGGACAGAGCTCTGCAGGGAGAGCCATTGCAAAACGCCACAGTGACTGCGGTGAACGATTTGTGTTTATATAGTATGTTTCTCATTTAATTTACTATAGTATGTTTCTCATTTTCTCTATGTCATCTTCTCTTTACTTGTAAAGATGTGTGTTTATGTCTAAATACACAGAGCATACTTTAGAGGGTTTCAACACATCGGGATGCGGCCAAATATTAACGTGTCAAATATTTCCCAACCTATACATCAAGGCTCTGTTCTTATGTGTTAGAATTTCAGAGTTGAATATTAGAATAATCTAAAACGAGTTGTAAGCCTAAGAAACGGGAAAGAATTGAATAAAGTTAGGAGTTTAAAAATGTTGGTAGAGTTTAAGTATTAAAAAGTCACTCAATTAAATGATCACCCAAATACATATATAAGAACACTTTAGTTTTTGATAAAAAGACTTCATCATTGTTTGTGTTTGAGGTGGTGTGTTATAAATTTGAATATGTAATGTTATTTTTTGAATTTATTATAATAAATACAATTTTTAAGTCGTTAGAAGAAACTATAAGAAGTTGGAAGAATTTAAAATTGTAAAAAGTTGAAAGTTAATTTTTTTAACCTAAAAGAATAGAGCTTAAATGGTTTATTAATTCGTTACTCACAAGCTCTTCAAATTAGATTTTAGAGTGCTTCTATGGTGCACCTTCGATGTATATCATTTTTGTAGATTCTCACAATTTTTTTCTAGATTTTTATCAAAAAATAAATGTTTATTTAAATAATAAGTAAATAGTTATTTTGTTCATATTTAAGTCAATGGTGGACTTTAGGTCCACCATAGAATTTGCCTAAATTTAAAGTATTAGTGCGTAAACACTACTTCCTTTCCACTACTTTTGGGACAAGGAGTGACACAGAAATAATGAAAAGTAAATATTTGTTTTTAATATTGATGTTAACAAGTAAGATAAAGTAAGAATCGTTGTAAACAATGGGAGTAGAAGATAGGAAAAATATGAATGTTAATTTTTTTTGTTAGATAACGAAAAAATCATTTTTGAGATGGAGTAATTGATTATTGTCAATGCCCGTGTACATATAGATCATATATAGATTGTCTGAAATAGGGGTTCACCTTAGAATGACTAGCACTATCCAATTATGACATTCATTCAAATTCAGGTATATCTATGACATTTTTCGTACACAACTTCAAAAATTAAGCTGTTTTTACACACAAAAAAAAACTATACTCTAAATTGTACACCACATGTGTATATCTTCATTTTCTGCCAGTGTAATCCGCAAAATTTTTTGATCGTATTCTGTGTCAGTGTAGATCGCAACAAATCGCCATTCACTAGAAAGTGGAAATGGAGAGGCAACAAACGCAATGGGATGATTAGAAAAAACCTGCAGCAGAAAAGAAGCATGTTTCTTCACCGGCATTACGTTGAAAGAAGAGTTTTGTCAGCATGGGACCAAGTCAATCTAACCGATGCCAAACATCACAAATCACAGGATATTATATGCTCATACAATCATATCATTGTATGTTTGGGTCTGAATCTTCAAAGTAATGTTGAGTGCGATGCTTGGGATATAGAGAAGGGGAATCTGATCAAAGAAAACAAGGTAATAAGCTTACTGCCATTTATCATGCATATATAAAGAACACTGGAAATATGAAATGAAGCAACACGCAATAAAATCAAAGACCACACAACATTAACAAAACAAAAAGCACCTCTGTAAATATACCATTGAGAAAATACCAAAAGACTACCTATTCTTCCACTGGTGGCTCTCAAAATAAACCTCAATCACCTACTCTCTCAAGTAAACTACACTATATGCACACCATATATTACCTCTCTGGTGAATGAACAACAAACGAAACTGACAAACGTATCTTTCCGCGCCATCTTCTGGGATCTAATCATACCCCAGATGTGCCACATGGTATTTTGAAATTAGAAGAAAGAAATTTTGTGAGACTCTTATTTCATTCCCTAGCACTATCTTTGGTTCAAGAAATTTGAAAAGGGGAAAAAAAAGAAAATGAAGTTGAAAGTACTTTTTGTTGTTTGGTAAGAGAAGAAAAGAACATGAGAAGGCAAAATGTACTAAGTGGAAGGAAACCAAACTTGTTCTATTTTGGTGAGAAAAATGAGAGCAAATCATTTTCTTTTTCTTCCAAATTCATTGAACCAAACATAGTGCAAAAGAAAACGGGATATATATAGGCAGACACAGTCTGAGATGGTCTTGTCTATAAAGGCCAAGTAGCCTTTGAATCCATCCCCAATGACTTTACTAGAGGTAGACAGAGTCCGAGATGGTTTGGTAGTTTTAAAAAATCAACACCATACCGTTACATATTCAAAAAGTTTGTTACGATTTTGATTTTAAGTCTCACCCATTTATAACCATGTCGTTCGGAAACAGAATGGTACCACAAAATGTTTTCCTACACACAAAAAGATGATTGAAGTGAGTATAAAACGTGGATGTAAAAAACATTTTTGAAAGAAAACGCTTTGGACATCAGAGGTGTTTCTCTATGCTAATGCTTATAGGTTTATTGTTAATAAGTAATTTTAACTTATACGAAGTAAGTTGCTAATAAGTTAAAAATTCTTTTGTTGAAGAAACTATAAGACTAGCTGATTTATTAGTTAAAACAACTTATAGGTAGTTTTGACAAGCTTATAAGACCATGTATTATGCCAGACCTGACGGTGAGTAAAGAGCTATGACGTAGAATGATGAAAATATGTATGTTGTGGTGAGTGTAATGCAAAGTGATGAAATATGAAGATATATTAAATTTTAATTAATTTGAAATGAAAAAAAATAAAAAACGAAGAAAGAGGGACAACGCCTATGACGACCATCAAGCCCCCATTTTGCATCTGTCACGCCGGCATTGTCGCGGTGGTCATGCCATGACAAGGCATGACGCCTCCATCACGGCGGTGGATCAAGCCCCACAACGGATGATCTAAGCAGCAAAAAAACACCCACATCAATACATCATTGTTATACTTTTGCTTGGAGAAGGGTAATGAAAAATACTTGAGCAAAACGCCGCTATTAAACTTCAACCAGCAAAACTCTGTACTAAATCGAACACTACTGTATGTTTCTAAAGATATGTGTTAGAAAGTAGCATCAACGTTTTGAAAAAGCTATCTACGAATAACGTTTAGGGTTAGCATTTTCAAATTAATCTTTCCATTAAAATTTTATCTTAATTATTAATGCTAATCTCTAACACTAATCCCAAACATGCCTATTATTGCTTGAAAAAGACCTTTGCACAATATTGGGCTTCTTTTTAATCAATAACTAACAAAGGGATTTAGCTAGTGATTTACTTTGTTGAGAATCCTAGTAGTTGAAGTTCAATATGGGCCATGGTTGAAATGGACTGCTATGTTGCTAAAAATAGGGCCTTGGCCTAGACTAAAACTGCACGACAGTCGTACCACTACTGAGTACTGAGACTACAAACCGGATGGAGCTCTGTAGGAAGAGCCACCGCAAAACGCCATACTAACTGCGGTGAACGGTTTGTGTTTATATAGTATGTTTCTCATTTAATTTACTATAGTATGTTTCTCATTTTCTCTTTACTTCTAAAGATATGTGTTTATGTCTAAATACACAGAGCATACTTTAAGGTTTCAACACATAGGGCTGATGTATAGCCTTGATGTATAGCCCACAATACTTTTTTATAATGAGAAATGTAAAAAAAAGAAGAGAAAAAACTAAAAGAAGAATAAAACATTGAAAATATATCAAAATAAAATTTTCGTATTTTTATTTCCGAAATAAAAGTTAAAATGGATATACAGTGTCAATCATGGTCATATACATTACCAAAATATATTATGAAATATCTACATACATTATCACATTACCACAATATAAACTCTTATTTTAGGTATAGAACATGAATCTCTTATTTTGGGCCTTTCTCTTTGTTTATTCCTATTTAGGATGATTTCATAATATAAAATGCAATTATACACAAAAAAGGAATAAGAAAACGTCCTCAAAACTACTTCAAAAGAAAAGTGAACAAATATTTTGACAAAAAGTATATATACCTTTGTGAACTCATGTCTATGTCATATATCATCACTACATGAAGAAAGAAAGATGTGACCACATATACAGGTACATGCAAGCAAGCTTAGGTAACCAATAATTTGGGGGCACATAATTGATTATTTACCTATCAATTTTTTCCCTAGATTAGCTAAATTAGAATATTGCATTTCAAGAGTTAATTTTATTATGTAGCTAAGAAATGGGAGTGGTTTTCTTTTTTTGTGGTTTTATTTGGTGCAGAGTATGTGGTGCATGCAGTCCCTATAATACATCACACATAGGGATGCGTGAATGCAATGCTACCAAAATTGTGGAAACCAATGCTTATGATATGGTCCACCCTCCATGCATGAGAGGATTTCTTTAATTTGTACTTTTATTTCTATACCAATTTCTGTGAAAAATGTTTTTTTTTTTTAAAAAGATGAGATTTTACATATTATTTGTAGTGAGACAAGAATTTTGAGATGAGATATATAATTTTAAAAGTTTTGAGGTCCCTTTGATGATGGACCTTGAAAGACTGCCCATCTGACCTGCCCCATGGGCTAATTTTATACGGAGTGCCATATTTTCAGGGTTAGTATATATGCGTTATTGGGTTGGGCCTCCACTCACCCCATTACTCATCTTCTAGTATTTCATACCGAGTACTTTAATGAAAATTTTGTTCCATATAAGACTTGTTTGGCAACTTCTGAATAGGTAAGTGTTGAACCAGTAAGAGGTCTGAATCATTAAGTGCTGAACCAGTAAGAGGTCTGAACCATTAAGAGCTAGTATATTACTTAACTATTCAGAGGCAAATGTCTGATCAATTCAGATAAGAGGTTTTAACCATCCAGACTCTGTATAATACTTAACCATTCAGAGGCAAATGTCTGAACCATTCAGACATCTGAACCATTAAGAGGCTAAAACAAACAGTTTGAACCATTAAATGCTGAACCATTTAGACATCTGAACCATTAAGAGGCTGAAACAAACATCCCCTAAGAGATACTACATTTCTCTAAATAAGACTATGTATGTTTTATTCCCTTTATGACACATAATTTTATATGATTTGTACAAAAGATGTACAAAAGGAGTATTTAACTTAAAAATGGGAAAAAATAATATCAATACTTCAAAAATTGCACAATTTTACATAAGTATTTTGATATTCAAAAAAATGACACAGATACTCCTATAACTTTCATACGTCCGCAATTTACATATCAGTTCTTCCAGAATTGATATCTATTACAAAGTATATCTTTGTTGGTGCACCAACTTAAACTTATTAAAATCTTGGAAGCATCAATGCCATTTATTGAATCTCAGAGTATTTATATAAAATTAAAAAATTTTGAAAATAATAGTGTGAATTTTTCTTTAAAATTTACATAAAAATTCAACTAACCCAATGATGACCTAACTATGTAATTATATCAAATACGGAGTAATCAATAAAAATATGTTTTAAAAGAAATATAATTTGACAATCTGCCTTAAAAAAGTTGGAATTGCTTGTTTTCACATTAGGTTTCACATGCATTCGTAGCTTGTTTAAAATTTAAATAAAGCACTAAACGCTTAGATCATTTTTTCCCTGCTATAAAAAAAAACACATGGTCAAAGATTCGTGTACATAAGCACGCCGTCTCTCTGTGTATTTGTATGTATATTTGGCTCTTTGTTTAGGTGTGTGTAATTATTTTAGGTGTTTTGTAATTACTTTGACATCAAAATGTTAGTACTCACTACTCCCTCCGTCCAGAAATAAACTTTCCGTTACACATTACGATGTTTGACTAAAATTATTTTCGAATCATCATTCTATATGAAAAATGGTGTAGAATCTAAAAATAAAAATTACGGAGTACATATTAAAAACTATATCAAAAGATCTACAAAACTACATGTGACATGACTATATTATTTTATCAAATGGGTGACGAAAATAGGCCAATAAAGTAAATAAAGTTTGACTATTTAAATAGTGAACGAGAAGTTTATTTGCGGATGGAGAGAGTATTTAATTTGAAAAATGCTTTTACATTTTTTGCTTTTCGATCTTTAGAAAAAATTGGTGGCTGCTTTTGTGAGTTTGGAAAGCTTGTATGATATAAGTTTTGCAATGTGAGAGAAATGACACTAGTTTTGAAATCTAAAATGAATTTAAATTAATTTGATTTTTAGGGATAGACGAAAGTATCTGACAATAAGGAATGATCGACGACTCAGGGTGTTAGTCCGTGGCGAGGGTAGTAAAGGTATTGATATCAAAACTCACGAGATATCGAAATTCCCTCTTTTGAGAGAGTTTTGTTATAGGGTAAAGTTCATATACTAAAAATTATTTTAAGTATTTATTAGGTTTCTTTATACTCCGTATTTTCTAAAGTGCCTCAGAGATCCTGAAAGTATTTTTAGTTCTTATCAAATCCCTTTATATTTTTACTAGTGAGTTAGTAATCTCTTTGGTGGCTTTTTCAGACCAAGTTTCTTGATATTATTGTAAAAAATGACGTTATACCATAAATTTTCAAACTTCTGCGGGTAAATCAAACAATTTCCAAAGACTTTGTATGAGAAAAAATATCTAAGGGACTATTAACGCACCAGGTAGAAAATATGTGGGCCTGGTAAGTATACTAAAAACAATTCAGGGCCTATGGAGCATTTTATAAAGGCATGGTAAGCACTTAAAATAATTTGGAGATTTTGGATGCACTTTTGAAAAAAAATATAAAGACCTTATAAGCATTTTACCCATTTGTTATAAGGAAATATCAAATCTGAGATATTGTTAAGCTTTGCCAAACACTAAACATGATTCTAGTTTTTTTAGATACCAAATCTAATTAAATTGTTTATACGTAAAAGCAAATTCTATGGTAGATCTAAGGTTTACCATTAATCTACATATGAACAAAATAAACATTTGTTTACAACTTAAATAAACATTTGTTTTTTAAATAAAAAATAAAAAAAAAATTATGTGAGAAAATCTACAAAAATAATATGTACTCAATGTGTACCAAAGAAGCACTCATATATAAAACATAAAATTGAGAATAATTTTTAAAATTAATTTTAATTTCCAAATCTAATACGGAGTACTCCGTGAAAAGGTGTTACGGAGCATTAAATTCAAAGAAGGCACTACTTTTCATGCATAGATTGGATAGCTGCTTGTACTCTACTCCGCATTTGACGCACATTTTTACCCGTAAATTCGTATTTATGCATGCATTTCTTTTTTTCTACTCCCTCCTTCCTGAATTATAAAGTCTGTTCATTTTTCACAGAGTTAAATTTTATTCACTTTCTTATTATATTTTCATTAGCAATTTGATAACATAAAATACTATTGTCACTACCAATTTGATAACACAAAATACTTTCGTCCTAATTTTTTACGCACTTCATTAAATACTTTATTCCATCTATAAAGTGTCTAAATACAACTCATTATACCGTGTATTATAAATATAAGTTGTTTTGGTGAGATATTTTAAACATTTTAGGTGAGATATATAAAAGCTTTTTATGGATGCGCGAAAACTTAGATTAGGAATGTTTTGTAAAATGGAGAGATAGATGGAAAAGTTTTATGATTATTAAATTTTTTTAATTAGAAAAGATAAAATTTGTGAATGTGAGTATAAAGAAAAATTATTACCGAATATATGAAATGTTTATTTTTATACGGAGTATTTATGGACGCATGGAATACAAACTAATTTTGTAAACAATAATGGGTAATTTATGGTCGAAATCAAATCCAAAAACACATTATTGAAACTTGAAATTGTCTCATGAATTCCAAATTCAAAACTATCAACATAGCATTATTCAATCACTAAGGGTCCGTTTGGTACACGAAATTGATGAAATTGGAATTGAATTGGTTGTTAAAATTCTATGAAATTGATTTAGATGGAACTGGATTCTTCAATTCCAATTCATTTTCTTGCATTATCGATTCCAAATCTACGTAATTTTGTGCTAACAAATAGTAAAATTGGAATTGGCCTTGAACACTTAAACAGAATTGAAATGGCCGAATAAAACACACTGAGACTTGACCTTGAGCACTTAAATAGCAATTGACTAACTACTTTAAAACAAAAATTGAAGAGAAAATAATGAGTACAAAAAAAAAAGCTCAACGTGAATTACCGAATTCAATCATGAGTAGTTAAGTGGGAAATTTATTTAAATAGTTCTAAAACATAACAATTTTTTCAATGCAGTACTATATATTACGGAGTATTATTTTTAATGTAATACCGTTTTTCAATGTCCATTGGTCATTGTTCAATTTAATGTTCAGCGCCACTAGAAATTGTTCAAACTAAATGTTTATTATCACTGGAAATTATTCCTACCAGTAGACATTCTTCAAGTACTATTTGAAGAAAAAATGTGTAAATAATACATTGAAAAATGACATGTATTTTAATACTAATTAGTGCAAATTTCACTAGTTAAATGCCCAATTACCCATCCCAACCTAAAAAAAACTAGAGGCTTGTTATGTGTTTCATTTGGGGTTTAGAAGAAATGGCCGGATCCGGAGCTAATTTGGGTTGATTTAACTTTATTTTCATATATAATTATGTATAATGAGAAAAAATGTACCATTAAACTCTTCAAAAATTATACTCCACAATTTATCCTTGAATTTTAGAAAACGTAACATCACGTTTAAACTCTTCTGAAATTGTAGTGTTTAAATTTCAAAATCAATTAAATCTCAACAATAAAATTCCGAGATTCCGTAGAAAATACTACGTAGTCCATAGTACTCCGTATTAGACAATGGGATCTACGAAATTGGTGCACGAATCCGCCCACACTTTCGTACATGAACCCAAACAAAAAATCTAAACTGCTCTGTGGGAAATAGTACTCCGTATAAAACTCGTGACTCATGAGATGAAAAATTACTCTCCCCAATTTATTACTAGTAATTCCTCCCTACCAAAATAAAATTCTTAATTTAGTTTGACACAAAATTTAAGAAAAATTAATTATCAAGGAGTATAAAAAAACAATACAAATATTTTATCTCGATCCGTAGTAATTACGAAAAATAAAACGGGATGTGTAACTTTTTACAACCCTTTCTGGATAGAGAAATGAGATTTTTACTCTAATTTTTACTATTGACAATTTGTCTTAGTTTGACTTTTATGTTAACTTTGAACATAAATTATAAAACTTTGATATATCAAAATTACATCTTAAAAAAATCTATCTATTTTAAAATTATATTATAATTAAATATAATTCTTGCATAAATTACAATTAAAATTAACATAAAATTCAAACTAGAACAAATAACATGGGATGGAGTATACATACTAGAGCGATAAATAATATAGAGTAAAGTATTGGTGCTTAATGATGAGAGAGTTTTTCATATTTATTTCTCTATTACGGAGTATAAAATTATGCGCTCATATTTTTTTTATGAATACCTTTTTACAAATACTCGTTTTTTACTTTTCAATACATTAGTGTGTTAAATCGAGACTTAAAAAAAACAATGTCACATCATCCTATGTCAAGTGACTGACAACATATTCTAATGACGACTTGACCAACATTATACTATGTAATAATTATTACAGAGTATTAGCTATGAATGTGGGTTATTATTACAACTAGAGATAACATCTGTATCTATGGTTGCAATTGACACCTACTCTAGCTGACAAAAAATATATATGACCATAGTGAAATTACATTTTAAGCATTCAATTTAATATCAATGTGTTAGGTGAAAAAGAAAGACTATTTGTGAAAAAATATTCATAGAAGATGGATCCCAAACATAATATTTGATGATAAAGATTAAATATAAAAACCTCCTATTTCCAAGCACTAGATGTTTGGAGAACCATCGCTTGCTTCGTTTAAAATGGTGTATGTGTACCCTCAATTAATTATCATTTGAGTAATATTATATTATTTACGAAGAACTATTTTGAGAATAAATCTCAATTATAGAAGACCACGTAGGTAATTAAAATTTATTGATGACTGATTTGGAAAAACACCTTATTAAAAATGACCATTTTAAGAATTTACTCTAGAAAAAATTTTCACTACACTTTTTTTTCAATTAAAAGATGCTTTTACTTTTATCTTTCATGGTTCACTTTTTTTAACATTGCTCAATTACAGTAGCAAAGAAATGAAAAGTCAAATGTTTTTTTCTTTTTTATAATAAAGAGAAATTTTACTATATAGTATTCTCTCTGTCCCAATTCACATTGTCTGTTTCGTTTTACGATGGTTAATAGAAATTATTTTTCAAATCATTTTATATGAAAAATAGTGAATAATTAAAAAATAAAAATTAAATATTAAAATATTAAATCAAAAGATATATAAAACTAATGGTGACATGACTATTTTATTTTATCAAACGACTTTCGAAAAAAATGAAGATTGAAAGATATTTGACAATTTGAATACTGAATAATAAACATGCAATTTAATTTAGATAAGAGAGAATACTAAAATATAATGTTTTTTCCAATACAGTATCATCATGTATTTTAATCTTCTAATATAATACTATTGGTTCAATGTCCGATGAACATTGTTCAAGTAATATCCACTGGCACTAGATATTGTTCAAGATAATGTCTTCTGCTACTAGATATTGTTCTTGCTACTAAATACTGCACAAGTACTATATATATATATATATATATATATATATATATATATATATATATATATATATATATAAAATACTATTTAATGCAAATTTCCCTATACTAAAAAGTGTGTCAAGTCAAAAGAAAAAAAAGGATGTAGAAAGTATTTTTATTTTTATTAAATAATTGCTCTCATAAAGGCCTTGCTTGAGAATAATGTTTTCGATTAATGTTAGTATTTTAGATAAAATTTTAATAGTATAGATTAATTTAGAAAATATTAACGTTAAAGGCTACCGTTGGATAACCTTATCAAAACGCTAATCTCTAACGCTCGAGTGAGACGTGGCCAAAATCAAATTTTTGATTCGCAAAGAACATATTTTAACTTAGAAAAAAGAAGACAAAATCTAAAATAAAAAAAGAAAGACTCATGATTCATATGAGGAAAAAACGATTCCAAATTCTAACAACTTTCATAATTATGAGTGAATAACTAATTACTAACAATCTTAATAAAATAAAACAGTTCGAAAATAAAAGAAAAAGCTAAAAACAAAGAAAATAAAACGATAGAAATGTGAGTAGACCCTCGCTGTTTCTTCAAGCATCGTGCATGCATTTCGGGTCATCTCTCTTTCTCTCTCTCTCTTTCCCTTTCTCTCTCTAAAAACCTCTTCTACTCTGCTCTTTGCTCTGCATGCACACGCTTTCTCTCTCTAACCCCCCCACTCTTTCTCGCTATTATCTTATTCAAATAATATTACTGGGCAATCGATCTGTACCGGCACCTATTTCCTAGTCCCCCCCACCTAAAACCGCCGCCGCCGCCGTTATTCGGCACTTCAACTGGCTCTGACTCTTGAGATTCAGTTCAGATTTCACGCCGCAGCGGAAAGATTGAGTCTTGGTTATGCTCCCTTTTCGTGCCTCTGCGCGTTTGCATTCAATCGATTGAGCGAGGTGAGCTGTTGAACTCCAGTGTTAATGGCCGATTGCTGGCTGATTTTGATCTGGGTTAGTGATTTGAATTTAGGGTTTTTTGATTTGGTGTCGGGGGAATTTCAGGGGATTTGATTTTCGGCCGGAAATGGGGTCAAAGTTCTGCATGAACGAGATGTGCCGCGCAACGACGTCGTCTGAGTGGAAGAAAGGATGGGGATTGAAATCGGGTGGATATTCAACGCTCTGCTCCAATTGCGGGTATTTCAGCTCCCATATCTGATTATAATTGGATTGGTTTTTGCCTATTTCAGGGGCAATTTCGGAATATTCATTTCAATTTTAGATCCCTGAATGTAGCAGACATTTTTGTCCCTAAAATCTCTCTCTCTCTCTCTCTCTGAATATTCTGAATGATTTTTTTTTAAATAATTTTTTTTGTTGCATATTAATTTGGGTTGCTTCCTAAATTTGGGCATGCCTGTTTTGCGTCAAATTTCTTGAATTTGACTTAACTTCTTAGCCATTCCTCGTTATGATTCTTGAATTCTTTGCTGCCCAAGACTGGGGTTTTTTTTTTCTTTTTTTTTCTCTAACATTTTTTATTTCAATTAAGGGTGTGTTTGGTGAGTGTTGTTTGGATGCAACAAGGTAAAATACATAGTATTTTTGTAACATAACATAGGACCTGTTCAGACTACAACTCTAGACTGCACCTTAATTGGACTTAATTTTAGTACTCCAAACAACTCATTTCAGTAGTATTCAGCTCAGTTGAATTCTGCTGAATTCAGTCTCATTGACCTGTATTAAATGGTTGAGCTAAGACCCCAAACTTAGGACTCCAGCAAAAATAATAAGAGAACATGCACATAATTCTCACGGTAATTTGTTGCTTGTTGATACTTAATTTTGTCTGGGTTAACTTCTGTGTAGTGCATTTCTTCTCTAATTCCAATAAGATATGAATCATCACTGCTTTGGACTTATTCAACATGTTGATTACTAATATGAACTTAAGATAACTTTGGTAAGACGTAATAAAATGTAATCTAATCAAATCTGCGCGCAATGGAAATTGACGCTACAAATAAATATATGCGAGTTTCTTCAATCAGTATCACTAAGTCATTTTTTCTCACGCGCGCGATGCAGGTCGGCTTATGAGCATTTAGCTTTCTGTGATATGTTTCACATGAATGAGTCTGGTTGGAGGGAGTGCAGAATGTGTGGAAAGGCAAGTATTGTTCCTCAGAGGGTGCTTCCTTATTTTTTTTGAAAAATGATTATTTTGACAACGGAATCTAAAAACATCTTAGAGGTGCTTCTCAGCTTTTGTTTTTCTGTCTCCGAAAAAGCTGGAAATCAGACAGTCCAAAGCATTCCAAAGTACTTCTATCCAAAGAAAAAGATGGGAATTTTTAAAAACACCCACTATCTATATTGTGTTCACTTTTCTTTTAAAAAAATCTGACTTGAGATTTTCATCTTATGACAGCGGCTTCACTGTGGGTGCATTGTGTCAATGTATTTGTATGATTATATGGATCATGGAGGCATATCATGCATAAATTGTACAAGGCTTTTGGGCGTTCAAATCTTGAGAACGATACAGGTAATAATTTGCTGCTGTGAAGTTTTGAGAATTAAAAGGTAAGAAAAAAGTTGGACAATTCTCATAATGTTAACAAATGGTTTATTTATACATTTTCATTTCATAATGTGGATGCAGACACCTAGTAGTAATAATAACATACCAAACGGAAATTTGCCCGTGCAAAAAATTAGAGACGCACATCGCGTGGATTCTAAAACAAGAACGGATGGAAATGATTTTGATAAAGGAAGACTAATGCACATGACTATGGAGGCACACAAGCCAGATCTGCTCTTTCTACCCCAAAACGGTGCAAAGATCAAACAAGAACAGAAAGTTCCCATTAGAGAACTCACATGCTTGCCAAACCTCAACCACAAGACCATTGAGTCACCAATATTTGGCAAACCAGACATCAGCATCCCTAAACAAGGCATTAAAGACACAACATATCAAGCTATCATGCAGACGTCAATGAATTTCTCTTTGACCACTCCTACCCTGGGCACTACTTCAAGTTCTCCACTGCAGTTTCTTGCTGGGATTGCTGAAGGGAGCGAACAAAGCAAGGGGTCGCCTTCACAACAAGGGCAGAAAGGACAAAATATTATTCCCAAACCAATTAAAGCTGTCAATAATTTAGGATCTGAATCTAAAAAAGGAATTATTACCTCAAACCGCATTGCAAGACCTCCACCTGGTGAGCGCACTGGACGAAATCAGTTACTTCCTAGATACTGGCCTAGGATTACTGACCAGGAATTACAGAAATTATCTGGAGAGTATCCTTGCATTATTATTATTATTATTATTATTATTATTATTATTATTATTATTATTGTTAATTTGTTATTATTATTATTATTATTACTATCATTAATATTATTGCCACAGTTCTTTTCACACCAAGATTAGGTGTCATATTATGACACCGAGGCCCTAAGGTGCTTCGTTGGACTCCAATGTTGTTCTTACCCCAAGCCCTTGCCTGCCCCCACCCCAGCCCGCCAATTTACTACAATAATCACCGTAGCAGGGGTCGTGTAGTGGTGGGGACAGTGGGTTAGGAGAGTAAGAACAACTTCGAGTTCCAATTGACCACCGTAGTGGCCTCTCTGACTTATTTAAAAGTTACCTAAGCTCAAAAAGGTCCCAACAACAAAAAATAGTGGGTGATATGTGGGTAAACTTCTGATATGATACTTTAACACTTTCCTTTGCACCCATTATGTTTTTACCTTTACTTCCGTTTTAAGCTTGAAGTCCAATATTACACCATTATTTGAGAAGGTTCTTAGTGCAAGTGATGCGGGTCGGATCGGGCGTTTGGTACTCCCTAAAGCATGCGCTGAAGTAAGGACTTGTTTTGTTGGCTTATGGTCTATGAATTGCATTCCTTGAGCGCTAATGGCATAATATGGTTGTCTGAAATGGTTGGGTTACAGGCATACTTTCCTCCTATTAACCATTCAGAAGGTATATCTATAAGGGTTCAAGATATAAAGGGTCAAGAGTGGACATTTCAGTTCCGATTTTGGCCCAATAACAACAGCAGGATGTATGTCCTAGAGGGTGTTACGCCTTGTATCCAGAACATGCAGTTGCAAGCTGGCGATACTGGTATTTCTTCCTCTCTCCTACCAAATTCAACCAAAGCAAGTATACTATGGTGGAGTAAATTTTTTATTATTTTTAGTTTTTTTAAATTTAATTTAACCATAAAATCTCATGATTTTCCATCAAGTTGATTTTTTTTATATCATGAACGTGGTTTTGGAATTTCATACCATCGTTCATTCATATGAATATTGCAAAGAGAAGGGAATTTGACATAGAAAATATCCAAGGAAAACAACAAATCCACTAAAATTCCACAAAAACTAGGGTCTTGGGAGGGTGTGTGTATGCAAAGCTTACTACCCCTACCCGGACTAAATTTGTAGTGTTAGCCAAATTTGGACACTCAAGTAATTACAGGTTTAACACAATAGTTCCATGTGAATGACACTCGTGTGACATTGTGGTCACGGGTTTGAGTCTTGAAAGTAGTCTCTTGTAAAAATGCAAGGTGAGGTTTGCCTACATCACACTTATATATTGAAAATGTTTCGTAGACCCTCACTCCATGGTTATGCTTTGTGCCCATGTACACAATAACTCCATGCAGGCAACCCCAACATAGTTGGGAACTTGGGATTAAGATGTTTTGATGATTATGCTTAGAACATGCAGGCAATTGTATAGTTGATGATAACGCTGACCGGATTTTTTGTGTGAAATTCTGAATTCATTAATGAGGAAAAAACTTATTTGTTGTCACCTAAGATGGACTTTGGTCAATCAGAAGCATTCCACCGTGAAGCATTTACTTCTAGCTCAAGGGAAAACTCTTTTTCATAGACCTTAGTATCCTTTAAGACATCTGCATATATAATCAAGAAATGTCTTTATCTTTAATTATTGATTACTGTTGGTAATGGAATTTCATCCAATGATCTGTTTCAATTTCTTAATATAATTTTCTTATGCTTTTTATTAGTTACATTTAGCCGGATAGATCCAGGAGGAAAGCTAATTATGGGTTTTCGGAAGGCAACAAATAACAATATTGACCCACAGGTTAGCCATTCTTTATGTTGTATTTCAAAAATATATCTCTTCATTATTTTCAAGTTTCAAATAATATTAGTTAGGAAACTTTTTATCAGGATTCTTCAAGTCCAATGCTTCCCATTGCTGGCAGTTCTGCAGAAATTCAAGCTTCTGGTGCCACTGACAATGACACGGTAAGTGCTCTCGGCTGGTTTAAGTCATGGAAGCATTTTATATCATTTTCCGTGCATTCCAAGGCCTTATATTCTTATAAACCCATATGTCTCTTGAATATTTGAATGTGCTATTATTGACGGATTTTTCTTTGTGTTTGTCGTCCTATCTTTACTCCCAAGTAGGGGTAACGTTTGTGTACCCCAAGTAAGGGTAAGGTTTGCATACGCTCACCCTGCTTTTTGTGGGATTCTATTGGGTTTGTTGTTGTTGTTGGCCTGCATTTACTAACTTAATGTGGTAATCCTAACAATTTAAACCAGCAGTGTTGTGTTTTCCTCCTTTTACCCATTCTATTTTAAATCAATCTCTTATTGGGTTCTCTCAATTGATGACAAAAAAGGAGAAGAATGAAAGTGGGGCCATGGATGAATCCTTGCAAAGAAATGTACCAATTCCGGAGAAGGAGAAGAAGAAGACACGGAACATAGGACCCAAAAACAAGAGGCTATTGATGCAAGCAAAAGACGCTTTAGAGCTGAAGGTCACATGGGAAGAAGCACAAGAGTTGCTTCGTCCATGTCCTTCCGCGAAACCAACTATCGTTGTGGTTGACGAGTTTGAATTTGAAGAATATGAAGTATGTCACAACTCCTCCATCATAGACACGAAATTGCTTGGTTTCTATCCTTCGCCTTTTTTTCTTGTATCTTATGAGTTTGCTACATCCTTTAATAGGAACCGCCGGTTTTCGGAAAGAAGACAATGTTCACTTCCCTATCAACCGGGTATGAAATACATTGAATTAAAATAAGTGCACATAAGTCTCTCCTTCTATATAGTATATATATATGATTCTATTTCATTGTCTTAGAGTTAGGCATATTCTGAAATGAGAAAAAATCTGAAAGGCCTTGTGCAAAAACATAATATTGACCCTATTTTGTTTTGTGTCAATTACTTTAAGGCTACATTTAGTATACGGAATTTAGGCCATGCAATTGGAATTGAAGACTTCATTTCCAATTCTAGTGTTTGTAGCACAAAAATATGTGGATTTGGAGTTGAATCTAATTCCAAATTTCCATATCCATTCCAAAAATTTGTGGATTTGCTAGCACAAAAGTATGAGGATGTGCATTTGGAATCATAATGCAATTCCATATCAATTCTATATCTATTCCTTAATTATACCCAACAAAGAATTTGGAATTGAATTATAATCCAATCCCATCCTATTCAATTCCAATTCCGTGTACCAAACGAAGCCTTATTTTAAACTTGATGCTAAATCTTATTTTTTATGATGAGTAATGCTAAACTTTGACTATTAAAATATCATTTATAAGTTAAAAAATTTAAATTTAAAATGTCAAAATAGTCAGAATGGCAAGCCTCCAAAAATAATAGGCCCTATAAAATTGGAGCATGTGAAAATGTTTATATCAGTGTAAGTATGAAAGCTTGTATCTTCAATGCTGACAAAGAATGATATGTACATAAAGGGAGCAGGAACAATGGGCTCAATGTGATAGTTGCTCCAAATGGCGCCGACTGCCCGCTCATGTTCTCCTTCCACCCAAGTGGACATGTTCGGATAATATGTGGGACCCAAACAGGTACCGTGCCAGTCTTTAAGTGTCTCTTGCTCTTATACTAACGTGCCCAACATATGTTTTTAGTTATTACTACGACTACTAACTATGAAATCGACAAAATTATATTCAACAGTTACCCCAATTGACCAAAAACAACATACATATCGTTGAAGTACGTTCGAGTACAAGAATCTGTATAAATACTTCATTGTATAATATGCCAAAAACGTTTTTGGTCACAAATCTGAAACCAGTTTGCGAGTTATTTTCGACTGGACTGAGTATGTTCTTGGGTAGATTTTGATGTTGCTGCATGTTAATTTAGCGCAACTCATTCAAAATAGCCTCACTAAGCAAGTGAGGTCATCTTCAACTAGTATACTGTGGTTAAATTTGAGTGCTCATATTTTCTTTTGGCACACCTTCTTACAGATGTTCATGCTCTGCGCCTGATGAGATAAATTCCAGAGAACAGAACACATTCCCTAGAGACGGCAACGGTAAAACCTGGTCTCCCATTGTTGTCATTACTTTTGAATTTTACTTTTAACTGTGTAACAAAAAAAAGTTGTAATCTTTCACCACTCCAAGTGGTGTAACCCCAGTGCTTCGGTCGTAAAATTGACTGCACATACCCTTCACAGCCCCTAGCCATTGCGATTGGATCCCATAAATTTTGTTGACTTTCTGCGTAATCTTCTCTAGATTCAAAGAGGCGGAGAATCACGGAGAACAACAGTGACGATTGCGAACCTTCAGGGTTGGACGCCTTGGCCACTCTGGCAGTACTAGGAGACAGCATTGGCGAGTACGGCGAACCGCCTGCCGCCTCTTCTTCTTCTGTCGGCGTGGGACCCACGACGAAACACCCCCGGCACCGCCCGGGTTGTTCTTGCATTGTCTGCATCCAACCCCCGAGCGGGAAGGGCAAGCACCTGCCCACTTGTAAGTGCAACGTCTGCTTGACTGTCCGGCGTAGGTTCAAAACCCTGATGCTTCGCAAGAAGAAAAAACAAACGGAACGTGGACCTGAACCTGCTGCCACAACCACCAACACGCCTGCCGCCACCACCGCCGCCACCGGACAAGGGAACGAAGAGCCTCTTCTTCCTAAAGACGGATCGGAGACGGGTGGTGCGGGCATTGGACTGGCGACCGGGTTGTTGGTGAATCATCATTCGGAAAACGACCGCAACCCAAACGGGGATGCCGAGGACGTCGGGACGGGCAAGGGACAGCTGGACCTGAATTGCGACCCTAACCGCGAAGACGACATGCTGCCGGAGAATGACAAAACTGCCCTTCAAGCACAGGATAATGGTTTGGAAACCCAGAACCATTATGACCATAGGATTATCACTTCCACAGATGCCAAGCAAGAAATCAAGGATGCTGATTGATGAGCAATTTCTCAATTTTTTGTTTTGTTTTGTTTTATTAAAAATATATTATCATATGGTTGGGTTCTTTTTATTAATAGAGTTCATTTAATTATACCATAGACATTTAGTACATTACCCAAGTGAGTAGCATCTCTTTACCCAAGTGAGAAATGTATGATTTGGTTTGAGAGGGATGACAATGAGAAGGATGCCTTGTATAATATGAACGGAGTACTCTATGTGTTTGTTCAGTTGCCTATATTATATTATACATAGAGATTTACCATAATAGTAGTGACATTTTACATCGGCGCGATTTAAATGACATTGAACCTAATGTCGTATGCATGACCCAAGCCCTCTTCGAAAAATTTATGGTTCCTGCCTTCCTTAAATTCCCTGGCCCCATCCCTTTTTCCTATTGGCTAAAGTAAGTACTGTGTCCAATCGGCAGGGAGGGGGCATAAATTATTATTTTTTCAAATAAAGCACTGTAGGAGGCTTGGATAATGTTATGACACTGGAAGACAATATCACATGAACTGCTTCGATTATACATACAGATGTACCATAATAGTTGTGAGTTGTGACGTTGCTCATATTATATATTTCCTCCGTTCTAAAAAAGAGTTCCTAGTTTGACTAAGTGTAAAAATAAGAAAGTGTTAAATTGTAGTTGACTTCTAATTTTGCTTTTGATGTGATGGGTAAAAGTAAGATGTGATGGATAGATTATTAGAGAAAAAGTATGATGTGATAGTTAGGTAGGGTATGAAAAAGTAAGGGTAAAAGTAGTTTTTTAATAGAAAGTGGAAGTGTTTTATTAAAAGTGAATTTACAATTTTATCCACGTTCTTAACGGAAATGTTAAAAAAAGACTATTCGTGAAAATGAATATAATAAACTCATTTTATTACAATTTCATCCACATCCCTAATTTATTTTTTCTTCCTATGAACCATTAAACTCATTTTATTGCAACCCATAATGACAACTTTTTGGCATGTTTGTTAACATTTTATTGCAACCCATTACCCCCCTTACAAGGCTCAACTCTTTTTAATTGAGAAAATTGTTAAAGATGAAACTAAAATAATAAAATATATTCCTCTTTATCATTAACGTATTATTTTAAATCTTTTGACAAATTGTTGCATGTATTTAGAGTTTATAGTGAACCTTCGTAGGAATTAAATAAGTATTAATTTTTATTACTAAGATAAACTTTTTTTAGTGAGAAAGTCCATGAAAACCATGTATACCTTAGGTCTATGAGAGAATCTCTCTGCATTTTGCAATAAGCCCCACTTATGAATGCAATGTTCTTGTTGCACCCATCACAAGACTCTTGCTAAATCTTAAGTCTTTCCCATGTTAATGGCAAACACAGAGAAATTTTCTTATTGATGTTTAAAACTTCTCAACTTTCTTTTTTTTTTATTGTTAGTCCATGACAACCACTTTTTGCACATACAAAGAATAAATAGAATGGGCAAAATTTCCACATTTAAATAGCAAAATTAAATAGCAATCATATACGTAGTAGCTAGTAGTATTGATTAATTGTAATGAAACGGTATATATAAATAGACTTTCAGTCATATACTCATATATCGTTGCCCACAAATGTATCAACCAAAGAAATATTGTCAAGTATAGAATATAATATGGGACTAATTTCCAAATACCATACTGATTTTTTTGTTTGATATGATTCTGTATTTTTTGAGATTTTTCTATTTGTACAATTTTCATAGGATTTTGGGATTTTTTGAGATCAATTGAATACATGCTCGCGGTTAGGTTTACTTTTAGAGTTGAATTGAATGTAGATATATTAATTTCACATGGACTAAAGTCATTAACATTGGAACCACCCACGCTAATTTGCTCCTCGTTGGGGGGGGGGGGAGCATGTTGAATTATACTCATTCCACATTGACTATGTGCAGTGATATTATGGTGCTTGTAATGATTTAATCGAGTGTCTCAACTCTTTAAAGGCATACTTAGTATGTTTTGGAGATGAGTTTTTCTTTGATGTCTTCTTAAATTAAGGGGTATGGATGCCCTTCCATTTAGAAATTGCCATGTGGACAAATGACAATAATATTTAAATAAATCTAATTACACTTTGCTATGTGGATAAATGATAAAATGACCGTACCCTCTAAATCATACTCCGTGTACATCGGTCAAGTCTTAAACTACCATCCATTATTATTAATTTAGTTTTTCTTTTTAATACTCTTAGGCCCCGTTCCGTTCAACTTATTTTTTCTTATTTTTTCTTATTCTTATTAAAATCAGATCAGATCAGACCAGATCAGATCGAATCAGATCAGATCAGATCGAATCAGATCAGATCAGATCCAATCAGATCAGATCAGATCTAATCAGATCAGATCCAATCAGATCAGATCAGATCAGATCAAGACTTATTAAAATCAGATCCCATAAAGAATTATTATTATTATTATTATTATTATGATTATTATTATTATTATCATTATTGTTATTATCATCATCATCATTATTATTATTATTATTATTATTATTATTATTATTGTTCTTAAAAATGAAAAAGACTAAACTTTAGAAATATGTTAAATAGAAAACTGAAAAGTAATCCTTAATTATTAGACGTCGGAAAAATTAGTTTTAAAATACATTGACAATGTCAATCTAATTCTACTTTTAAAATATATTTTTATTGCTACTTGTAATTTGAGTTTCTAAACTTTTGATCTTTTATAAGGATGAGATATTTTAATAAAAATACTATCTCTTCCATATATTGATTATCTAAATTTATTACTTTTTAATGTATATCTAAATTAAATATTTATTCTAATGTATAATTCTAATTTTACAAAAAATAATCATAAAATAAAAATATTATTACATTATAATATGAATGATTATTCTAATATATGAATTAACTATTTTTATTTTATTAAAAAATAATCATTAAATAAAAAATATTGATTATATTATAATATGAATTATCATTACAATTTTCAAACGTTATTATAAAGTCAAATTAAATTATTGATTTGAAATTTTAAATTAAATTATAACTAATCAGATCAGATCAGATCAGATTCAATCAGATCAGATCAGATCCAATCAGATCATATCAGATCAGATCCAATCAGATCAGATTAGAACAGATCAGACCAGATCAGATCAGAACTTATTAAAATCAGATCAGATCAGAAAAAATAAGTTGAACGGAACAGAGCCTTAGTTCATTGGTTTTTCTTTTTTTCTTCAACATGAGCACATAATTTCTTTCTTTGCATTTTCAAATTTATCCCCCAAACTTGGTTCATTATAGCTACTTTTTTCTTATAGGCTAATTTTACCATAGTTTTTACTGAAATTGATATTCACACTTCTTCGCCTTATTTAATGAATTTTGAATTTAAATTTTTTATTAAATATGTGTTGGTCCATGGAAAATAAGTGACTTTTGTTTCTAGTTATATTAAATATTTTTTGTTAAATCGTCCTTACAAAAAAAATATTTTTAAAATGGTCCTTAAAAATAATTTTTAACATCTATTTCGTACTAAATATATCATAGTCTTGCATTTCTACTATCACCAATACAATTTCCATGCTCTAAGTTCTATTCTTATTTCTATTACATCTCCAATTTCCATTTCTTCTAGAAATATAGTAAAATAACATTTAGAAATTGAGGAGGTAATTTGATACAAAAGATGACCTATGACATGAGAATTATGTATGAGGTAATTAGAAATATAAAATGAAGATGTTGACTATGAAATAAATGTATATCTAGACAAATAATAAATGTAAATTATATTTAAGAACCATTTTCAAAATTAAAAAAATTATAAGGATGACTTAACAATTTTTTTTACAGAGACCAAAAACAAAAGTCTTCTTTTTTACAGAGACTAAAAACGTATTTAACCCTCAAATTTTTATTAATATGTTTTAAAATTTAAATTGAAATTTCAATTGAATTTTTAATTTTTTAAAAATATTTATCATAATAGTAATAAAAGTAATAATAACAATAATTGTGATTACGTACTTCTATTGAAAATTAAAATAAAAAACTATTTTGTACATACTTATTTTAGTATTATCCCGTATGTATTTATTTTTGAAGTATTAATAGAAACTAAATTATGAGTAAAACATAGTGAATATATTAAAATTGGATATTCATATTTTATTTCTGAAATTGAAGTTTTGACAATGATGTCAATATATAATATTAAAAAATACTTGTAGAATGCCGATATACAATGGTAGATTGTTATAGTACAAAAATAGAAAAATATTTTGGGATAAAGGTAGTATTTTGGAGATAAGTATTTTTTTCTATTTTGTGTGATTTGTTAAAGAAGGGAAAAAGAATAAATGGTGGTTTAAATAATTGAAAAGAGTGTTGCGTGTCATTTAACCTTTGTGGAACACATTTAACTCTTATTATTATTTATCCACATGTCACTACTTAAATGGAAGGGCATCCATGCCCTTTGAAATTAGAAGGCATGGGAGAAAAACCCTTTCGAGATATGATATGATGAGAATTTTGAAATCTGATAGAAATGATATGAATTTTAGAATTTAAAATGATTATTTGATGAGATTTAAAATCATGATTTAATTAGTAGTGGTCGTGGGTCACCAACAACTATGGTGGCTGGTAGTGACAATGGTAGCCACTGGCAAGTGATGATCAATGATTGATGAAGATATCATATCCCCACATTGATATTTTCCAAATTCAAAAAATATCAAAACTTTCCATTTTGAAAATGAGTGATATTTGAAAATCTCAAATCTGAATTCTTAATGTCTCAACAAACACAAAAAAATATCGATACATTCCTTAAATTAATTGGGTAGTCGGTAATACTTTTGCACGCCTCTCAAAGAAAAAAAGTCAACCATGCTAGGGATACACTAGAAAATATACCCAAAAAAGTATATTGACATTTTAACAGTTCACACTGACATAAAATATTAGTTCACTTATTAAAAAAATTCACTAACATTTTTTGCCAATATAAACCATCACACTAATATCACGCTATTACAAAATATCGATGCATATCTTTGAAATACAAAATAGATTTTTTAATATACAAATAACTTATCTAGCCTTTAAATTAACACCAACATGGTAGAAGATCAAAAAAAAGACCATTTGTAGAAAGGTACCCTTAAAAAAAGGACTACGGAAGTAATATTTGATAATAAATGACTAAATATAGAAACCCTCTGTTATAAAGGACCAATTATGAAATTTACTCATTTTTTAATATACAAATAACTTATCTAGACGGAGCGGATAGAAAATGAGTTGAGACTTGAGAGAGATGACAAGGATGGAATGGATGTACGGTAATAAGGGGGTCCTCTTTGACTTTTTAGTATGGGTTCAAACTCCAAGTTTTAAAACTCTATCCACTTCGAAATCCGCGTACTTGGAGATGACCAAAAGAATATGACAAGTCGGACTCGATGAAAGACCAGAACTCTAATTAGGAAAATGCTAGGGGTACACCAAAAGTGTACACCAAATATCTCCACTCCCTCCATTACCACAAAAAAGGCAAGTAACATTTAAAAAAGAAATAAAAAATAAAAAGAAAATAAAATGAATGGTCTAGAGGCAAGTGGTGTACATTTGGGGTACACCTATGGTGTACCCCTAGCATCTCCCCTCTAATGACTACGAAATTTTTTCAAAATCGGTTTTAATGAGTCCAGTTTTCATTCAGTAAAATGTATGCATTTTTGGAATCAAATAATTCAATTTACCTAACTAAAATATAATGACTTTTTTAAAAATAGTATCATATGTTTTTATTTTTTAATGTAGGATTATTGATCATTATTTATTAGTCATTATTTAATTAAAAGTCCAATATCACTTGGACATTATTCTTCTCACTAGTCATTATTAAGTCTTATTTAGAGAATAAAAAAGTTTAAATCCTACATTAGAAAATGATTTATGTCTTAGTCCCATTCAGTACAAATTTCACTTTTTAATAACATTGAAACATTGAAAGGTTGACTTGTTTATTGCTGATCTTCTTTGTAGTTTGTACGGCTTCATTGTAACTTTTTTAAGTTCTAAACCCTTCAATAACATTTTATTTGTACGAAATGAATTCTTATTCATTTCCTATGTAAAAAATTAAAATAAACTCAATCAAACCATAGTCAAATGAGTTATTACTATTTTTCAATATATATTTTTTCACCATATCTCTTTTTCTATAAAATGGTATGTTAAATGGGTAAAGCTATTTGTACCCCATGTTTTGTACCCCGTAGCTTTGCACCAACACTTTATGTTGGTGTAAAACTAATTTTTATTAATGCACCAACACTTTGTGTCCGTATAAATTTTTGTTAATGCACCAACACTTATGTCGGTGTAAACCATCAAAATGTTTGTGTATAACTGCGGTGTACAAATGGGGTACAATTTGTGGTGTAAGTGTAGCATAACCCATGTTAAATATATGAGAAATGTGAAAAAGATGTTATGTTTTATCTAAGTTTAAAAATACAAAAACAAAATATTTTAACTCTCGAGTCAAGCGTGTTTCGAGAGTGGACTTCCTCTCATTCAAGTTAAAAGAGAATTTCAATTTTATCAACTATCCTTATGGGTGCAGACACTTTTTTGTGGGATAAAAAGAGTATTTTCACTAGGATAATAAAAAACAATTCTATTTTTCAGTGTTATTGATCTGATTATAATATATGTTTACTCATATTTTTACGAGAAAAAGACTAAAGTAGGAGTCGATGGGTGTATTCCACCCAGGACCGGTCAAAGAGGAAGTCCAGATATTTGACCGGTCAAGTTGATTGTCCTTGGAAGGGAGACCTAGATCATCAGTAAAAGGATGCTCGGTTGAGCGAAAAGTCGACCGGTATACTTTGGATAGTATACTGGTCAAAGTACATCGTCGTCTCATTCATTCTGATTCTCAATAAATCCATCCCTCAGGAACCACCCGGTATGGTTTTTAGGGTTGGAAAGTGTCGGCAGAGAAGAATCCAAAAGAGATTGGACCGTAGCGACCGAGATCTGTGAAGGATCGCTGGAGATACTCGAACAAAGGAATCCATCCAAGGTGTTACACGACAAAGGGGGAAAGCTTCCTCACTAGGCGACAAGGCAGCTAACAGACGAAGGCCATCACCTCCCACCATCCGAGAACGTGCCTTCACGTGGGTGCACGACGTCCTGTCCCCCTCAAACCTAGTATAAATACTGCTATAAACCTCAAAAAGAGGGATCCGAATTCATTCTCTCTAAACTCCATTGTAAAAGCACCCGTGCATTCTCTCATATTAATATCAATTAGGCTACAGGTGTTTCCACCTACAGCCTTACCGGTCATTTGAGTATTTTTACCTTTTTACTTTATCGAATCAAGTGAACTGTTCTAGACCCGGTCTAGTATAGTTTGCCCGGTTAGGTAATTTACACCATCAGGAGTAAAACATTCAAAATATAACTTCCATTTTTTTATTTTAGAAATAGGAGTTAAAATACATTTACATTATCAAAAAGTATAATAATGTGCACGTGTACAATGCCACATTATTCCACATTATCAGAGCGCGAACTCTTATTTCGGAAATAAAAATATGGAAATCCTATTTTGGAATATTTCTATGTTTTAGTTTTATTTAAGGTGATTTCTATATTTTTATCAATTCAAATTTAGTCGAATTTAGGTGAATTTCTTCATTAATCATTAATCTTGTAGAGTGAGTTTCTTGATTACTAAATTCAAGAAAAAAAAGAACTATTAAAATTCAAGAATAAAAAATCACCGCCCTCCTAATACGAACAAAAATGAAACGGGACACATCATCCGCTCTGTAAATATGTATCCATAAAGAGAGAGAGGGGAGATGGAGAGAGAGATTTATCAAAACCGAAATTGAATGCCATAAATGGCGACAAAGACGCCGTGAATCTGCATTTCGTTCTTCATTTGCCATTCTGAAGAAGAAGAAGAAGAAGAAAGAACCCAGAAAGGTGTGGGGGAGGGAGGGGAGAGTGAGAGAGGAGACAATTTCGAGTTGTCTCTGTCTCTCTCTGATTCTTCCGTTCCTTGTTGCTTCTTCTCAGACATTTCGTCGAGCAGATCGCAGACGACATGAGGTTCCCGGCCTCCGCCTTGTACATTCATGGTTGATCGAAGCTCTCCGTTTCGCCGTTTCGGAATTCCGCTCTGTAAACTCTATCTCTCTCCCCCTCTCTGTATGTGAAGTTTCCGTTTTTCCGATTCCTGAATTTTCCGCGCTGTTCTCTGTTGAAAACAAACCCTAGCCGCTTGAATTTGGAGTTTTGAGTTTTGAACTCTGTGTGATGGGGTATCGGGGTGACGGTGGCGGGCACGGCGGGTCCGGAGGGCCGAAAGTGGATGATCGTTTGGCGGCGGCGGCTCATCCTGATCCGTCGTCCATTGGCGACGAGTGCTGGGCCGCGGCGGAGGAGACGGCCAAGGAGTTGGTGAATTGTATCCACCCCACCATGGATTCAGAGGAGAAGAGGAAGGACGTCATGGAGTATGTCCAGAAACTGATCAGAGATTATCTTGCATGCGAGGTGTGTTTACATGCTTATATCATCTTCGTTTACATTGCCATTGTCCTGTAGGTCTTGATATCAAATCTCAATGGTGTGGGTGCATTTCTTAGGCTGTGTTTGGATGAAGGAGAGGGGACAAAAAATTATTCCTCTTCTACTTTGGTTCAACCCATTTTTTTAAAAAATGTGGGACACAATTGTACATGTTTGCAAAGGGAATGGATTTTTTTTAAAATGTTTTGATTTTTGAACCAAACGAGAGGGGGGGGATCATTTTCTCTTCCAACCAAACAAACCCTTACTTACCTTGTATAGCAATTAGCAAGTGACTGATTTTCACTTTTAGTGTATATTCTTTATTCATTCATTACCTATTCCTAATTGATGGTATATTTGACCCTGATGCCAGTATAATCAATGTGAGTATCATGGCTCATGCCTAGGGCCCCTAGTCCCATGGGGTGTCAGTTTTTTATTCGGAAAATAAAAAAATTATGAGTTGGTGCATTTTAATTAGATATGACCTTTAAAAAAGAGAAAGATGTTTTAATAGTGAATCACATTGCACCACATGAACAGTGATTACTTCTCTATGGAAGTATGTGAAGTGAGACTTTTTTTATGAAGCATCTATAGAAAAAGAATACTACTTTAAATTTTAAGCGTAATATAGTAGACCTCCTAATAATTATGGTTCAGTTTGAAGAGTCCTGGTTGAAATATTCTAGACAATGAGAGAAATATTCTGGTGCATGTAACTATGGCCTCTTAAAACGAATTATTGTGACAATTATTGCCATGATGTAGGTTAACTCTGAATAATGGGCCAGGAGGATCCCAATGTGAATAAATTATGATCCTAATGCCATAGGATACAATTTATATATTCTTATTGTCTGTCGAATAACTTGATGAAATATAATATCCAACTCTTTCTGTTAGACATGACCAACCGACCAAATCAAAGCAAAGTAGAATATTTTATTGATGTAAAAACTGTACAGGATTATTTGTGTTCTCTAAATATAAATAGAGAACAGACCAACATGACTTTTACTAACCAACACAACTATTACAAACCAACACACCTATTAACAATAGAAACTACCCATAACTGCCTTTTAGAAACTACCCACTGTTTTTTTAATTAATTAAATATGTAAAACACACTAAACGACACCACACTATTTGACTCTATACTAACTGACCCGAACATTGACTCATTACCCATTCGGTTATATGTGAACAAACCCGATTATATCTAACAATCACGCCCCTAATCGTTGTTTGTTCACACTGATCTTCACAGCAACGTTGGTTCATCATCATCTTTAATCAAATTTGCAATGTGTTCCTTTTGATCCCATTTTGGACATTCGTTCAAAAATGCCCCAACTCATTGCACTTGAAGCACCTAATGCGACTCTTTTCC